TATCCACGTTTAGTACGCGTCTAGTACTTCCGCGAAATGAACGCAAGCAGTTCCACATTGCCACTTGTGTGGGCACTCCTATACACCTTAAAATACTAACTAGTCATAATCTGGCAACATTTAAAACACTACAACTGGCATTAATTCAACATGAATCCAACAATGTTTATTGTTTTTCTTGTTATGAATATGTTAAAAACAACAAACGAATTAACATTCCAAACACATTTTCACATTGAAATTAGTTATCAATTAACAAAACCGAAAACCATTAAAGAATAAACACCGGCCACAAATAGTTCTTCTTCGGCAAATCCAAACAACTGCTAATGGGTTTTTTCCAAATGTCAATTGAATCACGTTTTTTGTTTACAAAGACACATTAAACCATTGATGCCATTTATTTTGGTTTGCTTAGAGGCTGGGGAGAGGAGGGAGTTTAATTTGCACAGTTGCCAGTAGCCTGCAGTAAACTATAAATTGTATTATTGTTGTACTATATGAGATGACAACAACAACAACTAATAAAAAAAAGTTTCAACTAAAAAAAGGCGTGAAATAATTTCTGAGAGTAGGGGGGTCTAAAGTTAATTTCGAACAATTTCATAGATGAATACTTTACAGTTGCTAAAGCTTGAAGCGAAAATTAAAGCGCTTAGAGTGTGAAGTTGGAAAATTTCAAATAGTTTTTTAGGTTAAGAATAGAAGAAAGCTAAAGATCTATAAAACAAGTCCTCAGTCTTAAATCATCAATCAATCATCAGAAACATTTTCGATCAAAAACGATTGACAAAAGAACTAGTTCTTGGATCATCCTATGAAACAAAGGTTGACGCTATAACGCCTCTATATCACCAGTAACAAAGATGAAAATTTCGAAAAGAAATCTTTAATGAAAGAACTGGTTCAGATAGAGCGCTTAAGTTCGCCCACAGAACAAATTCGGAAGTTAACAATTTGCAACCAAAACAATTAAAAAAGGAACAAGATCTAGGATCATACGGTGGAACGAATGTTGACACTATATCGCTTTCATATGTATATATTGCTCCCGTATAACTAGTTCAGAATGTGACAATTTCCATTAGAAAGCAATGACGAATGAACTGATACCACAGCCATTCTATAGTGTGAATATCGACTCCATAACACTTCCGTAGAACTAGTTCCGAGGGAAATATTTGATCTGGTTCTAGAGCCATTCTATGGTATGAACATCGACTCTATAATGTTTTCACAGAACGAGTTCCAATGGTGAGAGTTTTAAACAAACGGCAATTCGAATCCAGAACCGTTTTAACGCTTCTACAGAACCAGTTCCGAAGGTGATTTATTCAAATGAAAATCATTGATGAATGAATAGATTCCTGAATATTGCCTCTATAACGCTTCTGCAGAATTAGATCCGTAGGAGACAATTTGGAACAAAAATCATTGAATACTCATGGTTCCGAAGGAAACTATTAGGAACAGAAATGGTTTATGAAAGACCATTTCCCTCTTATCTAGTAAAACTACTCCCCCCTTTTTCCTAAGCCTCTGTTAATACTCTTCTTTTGTAGTTTTTTTCATATAAAAATCATTTTATTGAAATAGTTTTCTGAAGAAGATTTACTGAATTAAATTGAACTAACCTCAATATAGATTATCTCAATGAAAAAGGTTAAGTTAAATTACCAAGGATGGTGGAATATAACTAAAACTTATTGTTAATTTAAGCAAAAAAAAAAAAATATTTAAATGTTAAATATAATAATGTTTACAATTTGTTCTCTTTTGCTTAAAGGGTCGAGATGCTACACCTTACCTGGAAAGAAATCGTGTTGGTAGAGATGCTATTGATTCAGCGGCCGCTCTAACCGATATGGGTAAATATTTGTTCCGTGAGAGAAGATTACCCGTCTATGATATAGCCGTAGCCATAACAAAGTAAGTTATAATTAACAAACTCTGAAACCCGGATTAATCAGCCTGCCTGCTGATTATTTACAACAACTGAAAATATTTTCTTCTATATTTCTTTTTTTATTCTCCCAACAAAAAAAATCTTAACTTTATAAATATTTCAAATTTCTTTCGCAAAACAAAACAAAAAACAAAACACTCTTTTTAAATTCCCTCTCTACCTTCCTGTATATAAACTTTAGGTATGATATGTGTCGAAGGCGTAAAGGAGGTCGTTGTACCAAAGGCACAGCGGGTAAAATATTTCAACAATTATTATTTAATTAATCTGTAGTATAGTTTTAAAAATTTTGAGTAGTTTTTTTTTAAATGCACTTTAATTGACACCACCACAAAAATATTTTATATAGAAAAATAATTTAACATATTTTTAACATAAAGACACATGAACATTAAAAGCAACAGCAACAAATAAATTTATTTTAAGCCACAATTATGTGAGAATTAACTACTAAAAAATAATAATTTAATTAAATTAAAAACAGCTTTTTTAACAATGGTTAGTCAGGGAGTTACGTACATATATGCATATAAAAATATATAGAGGGTTAGACACGATCATAGATATATAAATTTATAATGAAGAGTATTCAAGTAATTGCTTTAAGAGTACAAATAATACGGAAGGCAAAGACTTGCTTCCTAGAACTAAAACTGAACTACAACAGAACTAGAACTGAACTAGAACTGAACTAGAACTGAACTAGAACTGAACTAGAACTGAACTAGAACTGAACTAGAACTGAACTAGAACTAGAACTGAACTAGACTGAACTAGAACTGAACTAGAACTGAACTAGAAATAAACTAGAACTGAACTAGAACTAGAACTGAACTAGAACTGAACTAGAACTGAACTAGAACTGAACTAGAACTGAACTAGAACTGAACTAGAACTGAACTAGAACTGAACTAGAACTGAACTAGAACTGACTAGAACTGAACTAGAACTGAACTAGAACTGAACTAGAACTGAACTAGAACTGAACTAGAACTGAACTAGAACTGAACTAGAACTGAACTAGAACTGAACTAGAACTGAACTAGAACTGAACTAGAACTGAACTAGAACTGAACTAGAACTGAACTAGAACTGAACTAGAACTGAACTAGAACTGAACTAGAACTGAACTAGAACTGAAACTAGAACTGAACTATAACTGAACTAGAACTGAACTAGAACTGAACTAGAACTGAACTAGAACTGAACTAGAACTGAACTAGAACCTTGAACACTGAACCTAGAACTGAACTAGAACTGAACTAGAACTGAACTAGAACGAACTAAGAACTGAACTAGAACTGAACTAGAACTGAACTAGAACTGAACTAGAACTGAACTAGAACTGAACTAGAACTGAACTAGAACTGAACTAGAACTGAACTAGAACTGAACTAGAACTGAACTAGAACTGAACTAGAATGAACTAGAACTGAACTAGAACTGAACTAGAACTGAACTAGAACTGAACTAGAACTGAACTAGAACTGAACTGAACTAGAACTGAACTAGAACTGAACTAGAACTGAACTAGAACTGAACTAGAACTGAAACTAGAACTGAACTAGAAACTGAACTAGAACTGAACTAGAACTGAACTAGAACTGAACTAGAACTGAACTAGAACTGAACTAGAACTGAACTAGAACTGAATCTAGAACTGAACTAGAACTGAACTAGAACTGAACTAGAACTGAACTAGAACTGAACTAGAACTGAACTAGAACTGAACTAGAACTGAACTAGAAACTGAACTAGAACTGAACGAAGAACTAGAACTGAACTAGAACTGAACTAGAACTGAACTAGAACTGAACTAGAACTGAACTAGAACTGAACTAGACTGAACTAGAACTGAACTAGAACTGAACTAGAACTGAACTAGAACTGAAACTAGAACTGAACTAGAACTGAACTAGAACTGAACTAGAACTGAACTAGAACTGAACTAGAACTGAACTAGAACTGAACTAGAACTGAACTAGAACTGAACTAGAAACTGAACTCGAACTGAACTAGAACTGAACTAGAACTGAACTAGAACTGAACTAGAACTGAACTAGAACTGAACTAGAACTGGAACTAGAACTGACTAGAACTAGAGAACTGAACTAGAACTGAACTAGAACTGAACTAGAACTGAACTAGAACTGAACTAGAACTTGAACTAGAAACTGAACTAGAACGAACTAGAACTGAACTAGAACTGAACTAGAACTGACTAGAACTGAACTAGAACTGAACTAGAACTGAAACTAGAACTGAACTGAACTGAACTAGAACTGAACTAGAACTGAATAGAACTGAACTAGAACTGAACTAGAACTGAACTAGAACTGAACTAGAACGGAACTAGAACTGAACTAGAACTGAACTAGAACTGAACTAGAACTGAACTAGAACTGAACTAGAACTGAACTAGAACTGAACTAGAACTGAACTAGAACTGAACTAGAACTGAACTAGAACTGAACTAGACTGAACTAGAACTGAACTAGAACTGAACTAGAACTGAACTAGAACTGAACTAGAACTGAACTAGAACTGAACTAGAACTGAAACTAGAACTGAACTAGAACTGAACTAGAACTGAACTAGAACTGAACTAGAAACTGAACTACAACTGAACTAGAACTGAACTAGAACTGAACTAGAACTGAACTAGAACTGAACTAGAACTGAACTAGAACTGAACTAGAACTGAACTAGAACTGAACTAGAACTGAACTAGAACTGAACTAGAACTGAACTAGAACTGAACTAGAACTGACTAGAACTGAACTAGAACTGAACTAGAACTGAACTAGAACTGAACTAGAACTGAACTAGAACTGAACTAGAACTGAACTAGAACTGAACTGAACTAGAACTAGAACTAGAACTGAACTAGAACTGACCATAGAACTGAACTAGACTGAACTAGAACTGAACTAGAACTGAACAGAACTGAACTAGAACTGAACTAGAACTGAAACTAGAACTGAACTAGAACTGAACTAGAACTGAACTAGAACTGAACTAGAACTGAAATAGAAACTGAACTAGAACTGAACTAGAACTGGAACTAGAACTGAACTAGAACTGAACTATGAACTGAACAATGAACTAGAACTGACTAGAACTTGAACTAGAACGGAACTAGAACTGAACTGAACTGAAATAGAAACAATGACTAGCACTGACTAGAACTGAACTCAAATAGAACTAGCAGAACTGAACTGAACTAGAACTACACTGGCCGGTGGGAACTAGAACTAAATTAAACATGAATTAGAACGGAAATAGAGCAGAACTAAAACTGATCTGGAATTGGAAGTAATATAATATTCGTACAAAATTTTAAAGCCCAATTTCTTCTAAAAATACTCTTACACTTTTGTGTTAATGGTTAATTAGAAATTATTTTGAATTATGCAATTATTTATAACAAATTATACATTATTAGTTTTGATGGATTTAGTATTTAAAAGCAAAACAAATTTACAGCAATTTATAAAAAGAAATATAACGGCATACCTTGTCTTTAAATGCCTCTTTCTCTCTCTCTCTCTCTTTCTATCATTTCATTTCTTTCTTCTTTATAATTTAGCTTTTTATTCTTGTATACTTTTCGTAAAGAAAATGTTTTATATAAAATACATAAATTTGAAACTTACCTTTAATGTAAACTTCTTAATTTAGACTTGATATGTGCAGACGTACCTCCGCATATGGAAATTGTAATCGTGGTACAGCAGGTAATGAAATGAAACTGAAATGAAAGAATTAAAAAAACCAATTAGCACGATCTGTTGTAATAAGTTTAACTTTCTGTCAAAATATTTTTATTGTGTTTTCTTTAAGGAAAACAATGAGCACGTGTATAGCAACTATAAAACATAAAAAAAATCTTTTGTAAATGTTTTTAAATTTCAGTGTTTGTTTTTCTTTAAGTGTAAATAATTGAATGAAGATTAACAACTATATGCGTAATTTTCTTTGACATTTGTAGAGCTATAACTAAACTAGTTCTAGTACAGTTCTAATTCAGTTCTAGTTCAGTTCTAGTTCAGTTCTAGTTCAGTTCTAGTTCAGTTCTAGTTCAGTTCTAGTTCAGTTCTAGTTCAGTTCTAGTTCAGTTCTAGTTCAGTTCTAGTTCAGTTCTAGTTCAGTTCTAGTTCAGTTCTAGTTCAGTTCTAGTTCAGTTCCAGTTCAGTTCTAGTTCAGTTCTAGTTCAGTTCTAGTTCAGTTCTAGTTCAGTTCTAGTTCAGTTCTAGTTCTGTTCTAGTTCAGTTCTAGTTCAGTTCTAGTTCAGTTCTAGTTCAGTTCTACTTCAGTTCTAGTTCAGTTCTAGTTCAGTTCTAGTTCAGTTCTAGTGCAGTTCAGTTCTAGTTCAGTTCTAGTTCAGTTCTAGTTCAGTTTCTAGTTCAGTTCTAGTTCAGTTCTAGTTCAGTTCTAGTTCAGTCTAGTTCAGTTCTAGTTCAGTTCTTTCAGTTTCTAGTTCAGTTCTAGTTCAGTTTCTAGTTCAGTTCTAGTTCCAGTTCTAGTTCAGTTCTAGTTTCAGTTCTAGTTCAGTTCTAGTTCAGTTCTAGTTCAGTTCTAGTTCAGTTCTAGTTCAGTTCTAGTTCAGTTCTAGTTCAGTTCTAGTTTAGTCCTAGTTCAGTTCTAGTTCAGTTCTAGTTCAGTTCTAGTTCAGTTCTAGTTCAGTTCTAGTTCAGTTCTAGTTCAGTTCTAGTTCCGTTCTAGTTCAGTTCTAGTTCAGTTCTAGTTCAGTTTTAGTTCAGTTCTAGTTCAGTTCTAGTTCAGTTCTAGTTCAGTTCTAGTTCAGTTCTGGTTCAGTTCTAGTACAGTTCTAGTTCTAGTTCAGTTCTAGTTCAGTTCTAGTTCAGTTAGTTTCAGTTCTAGTTCAGTTCTAGTTCAGTTCTAGTTCAGTTCTAGTTCAGTTCTAGTTCAGTTCTAGTTTCAGTTCTAGTTCAGTTCTAGTTCAGTTCTAGTTCAGTTCTAGTTCAGTTCTAGTTCAGTTCTAGTTCAGTTCTAGTTTCAGTTCTAGTTCAGTTCTACTTCAGTTCTAGTTCAGTTCTAGTTCAGTTCTAGTTCAGTTCTAGTACAGTTCTAGTTCAGTTCTAGTTCAGTTCTAGTTCAGTTCTAGTTCAGTTCTAGTTCAGTTCTAGTTCAGTTCTAGTTCAGTTCTAGTACAGTTCTAGTTCAGTTCTAGTTCAGTTCTAGTTCAGTTCTAGTTCAGTTCTAGTTCAGTTTTAGTTCAGTTCTAGTTCAGTTCTAGTTCAGTTCTAGTTCAGTTCTAGTTCAGTTCTAGTTCAGTTCTAGTTCAGTTCTAGTTCTAGTTCAGTTCTAGTTCTAGTTCAGTTCTAGTTCAGTTCTAGTTCAGTTCTAGTTCAGTTCTAGTTCAGTTCTAGTTCAGTTCTAGTACAGTTCTAGTTCAGTTCTAGTTCTGTTGTCGTTCCTTGACCTTTAAGACCTAAAATTTCAGATGTCAAACTATTCTATATGCCTCTAGGACTATTTCGTTCAGGAATGTTTCTCTTCTCTATGTGTAAATCATAAATTTTAACTTCAGCGACCATTTTATCTATGTGTTTCTAAAATTTTTAGACTTTTTTCTAGCCAGGACTGCCCTTTCTTTATATATTTTTATACTTCTAATATTTGGCAAAGGTTTTTTTATTTTAAATCAAGCATGTTTTTTTATTTTTACAAATTTTATTAAAAATAATTAAGGTTTTGGTTACTCAACATGGTTTCAAAATTATCTTAATATTATTTCAAGTATTCACCTCAAACTCACCACACTTTTGTAAACAATTAACCACCAAACTGCTTTAAATAACACGTTATTAAATACTTAAAAATTATTGTAAATATTTCATTATTTACTAATTTAGTATTAACAATTTAAATTTATGTTTAAAACTAATTGCTTGTAGTAAAAAAAGAGAGGAGAAATTCACCCAAATGTGTCAAACACATTTGTTTCTTTGCAAGAGCAACTAGTTTTTAACTGTAATTACTTAATAACAACTTCCTTTTTATTAAAATAAACTTTTCAATAATATTTCAACATTTTCTTTAAAAATCCATTTGAAAATCAGGCTTTGCTTATGTCGGAGGCGCCTGCGTGGTGAACAAACGTTTGGAAAAAGTCAACAGTGTTGCTATCATTGAGGATACTGGCGGTTTCAGTGGCATCATTGTTGCTGCTCATGAAGTGGGCCATTTGTAAGTAAACAAAAACAACAATTAAAATTTTTTCCAAATAAACAAAGTTGTTGTTAAATGTCTACATTGAAATTTCCGTTAAATTTAAGCAAAAAAAAAAAAAAACTATTAACAAGAAAAAAACTTGTTATAACTTGTCTTAATTTATTGGAATTTTATGCATATCCGCCTTTTAAATGTAAATTTTTATTGAATTATTTGTTTTATCTTCATACTAGACTTGGTGCTGTTCATGATGGTTCACCACACCCATTTATTTGGGTGGACCTGGAGCTCACGCTGTCGTTGGGAAAGATGGTTATATAATGTCGATTTGCGACATCAGAAAGAGGTTTCCGTTGGTCTCCTGTACAGTGCAAAAGTTTAATTAATTCTTAAAGTAAGTTTAGTATGAAAGTATTTAAATTTGATATTTTTAAGATCTAGAAATATGAATCTTTTGTCGCCAATGAAGTTCAGATCTAGTTCAGTTTTAGTTCAGTTTAGTTCAGTTCTAAGTTCATTCTAGTTCAGTTCTAGTTTCAGTTCTAGTTCAGTTCTAGTTCAGTTCTAGTTCAGTTCTAGTTCAGTTCTAGTTCAGTTTAGTTCAGTTCTAGTTCAGTTCTAGTTCAGTTCTAGTTCAGTTCTAGTTCAGTTCTAGTTCAGTTCTAGTTCAGTTCTAGTTCAGTTCTAGTTCAGTTCTAGTTCAGTTCTAGTTCAGTTCTAGTTCAGTTCTAGTTCAGTTCTAGTTCAGTTCTAGTTCAGTTCTAGTTCAGTTCTAGTTCAGTTCTAGTTCAGTTCTAGTTCAGTTCTAGTTCAGTTCTAGTTCAGTTCTAGTTCAGTTCTAGTTCAGTTCTAGTTCAGTTCTAGTTCAGTTCTAGTTCAGTTCTAGTTCAGTTCTAGTCAGTTCTAGTTCAGTTCTAGTTCAGTTCTAGTTCAGTTCTAGTTCAGTTCTAGTTCAGTTCTAGTTCAGTTCTAGTTCAGTTCTAGTTCAGTTCTAGTTCAGTTCTAGTTCAGTTTAGTTCAGTTCTAGTTCAGTTCTAGTCAGTTCTAGTTCAGTTCTAGTTCAGTTCTAGTTCGTTCTAGTTCAGTTTAGTTCAGTTCAGTTCTAGTTCATTCGTTCAGTTCTAGTTCAGTTCTAGTTCAGTTCTAGTTCAGTTCTAGTTCAGTTCTAGTTCAGTTCTAGTTCAGTTCTAGTTCAGTTCTAGTTCAGTTCTAGTTCAGTTCTAGTTCAGTTCTAGTTCAGTTCTAGTTCAGTTCTAGTTCAGTTCTAGTTCAGTTCTAGTTCAGTTCTAGTTCAGTTCTAGTTCAGTTCTAGTTCAGTTCTAATTCAGTTCTAGTTCAGTTCTAGTTCAGTTCTAGTTCAGTTCTAGTTCAGTTCTAGTTCAGTTCTAGTTCAGTTCTAGTTCAGTTCTAGTTTAGTTCTAGTTCAGTTCTAGTTCAGTTCTAGTTCAGTTCTAGTTCAGTTCTAGTTCAGTTCTAGTTCAGTTCTAGTTCAGTTCTAGTTCAGTTCTAGTTCAGTTCTAGTTCAGTTCTAGTTCAAGTTCTAGTCAGTTTAGTTCAGTTCTAGTTCAGTTTTCTAGTTCAGTTCTAGTTCAGTTCTAAGTTCGTTCTAGTTCCAGTTCTAGTTCAGTTCTAGTTCAGTTATGTTTCAGTTTCTCGTTCAGTTCTAGTTCCAGTTCTAGTTCAGTTCTAGTTCAGTTCTAGTTCAGTTTCTAGTTCCGTTCTAGTTCAAGTTCTAGTTCAGTTCTAGATGTCAGTTCTAGTTCAGTTCGTTCTTAGTTTCAGTTTCTAGGTCAGTTCTAGTTCAGTTCTAGTTCAGTTCTAGTTCAGTTCTAGTTCAGTTTAGTTCAGTTCTGTTCAGTTCTAGTCAGTCTATTTCAGTTCTAGTTCAGTTCTAGTTCAGTTCTAGTTCAGTTCTAGTCAGTTCTAGTTCAGTTCTAGTTCAGTTCTAGTTCAGTTCTAGTTCAGTTCTAGTTCAGTTCTAGTTCATTCTAGTTCAGTTCTAGTTCAGTTCTAGTTCAGTTCTAGTTCAGTTCTAGTTCAGTTCTAGTTCAGTTCTAGTTCAGTTCTAGTTCAGTTCTATTCAGTTCTAGTTCAGTTCTAGTTCAGTTCTAGTTCAGTTCTAGTTCAGTTCTAGTTCAGTTCTAGTTCAGTTCTAGTTCAGTTCTAGTTCAGTTCTAGTTCAGTTCTAGTTCAGTTCTAGTTCAGTTCTAGTTCAGTTCTAGTTCAGTTCTAGTTCAGTTCTAGTTCAGTTCTAGTTCAGTTCTAGTTCAGTTCTAGTTCAGTTCTAGTTCAGTCTAGTTCAGTTCTAGTTCAGTTCTAGTTCAGTTCTAGTTCAGTTCTAGTTCAGTTCTAGTTCAGTTCTAGTTCAGTTCTAGTTCAGTTCTAGTTCAGTTCTAGTTCAGTTCTAGTTCAGTTCTAGTTCAGTTCTAGTTCAGTTCTAGTTCAGTTCTAGTTCAGTTCTAGTTCAGTTCTAGTTCAGTTCTAGTTCAGTTCTAGTTCAGTTCCTAGTTCTCTAGTTCCAGTTCTAGGTTCAGTTTTCAGTTCAGTTTCTAGTTCAGTTCTAAGTTCAGTTCTAGTTCAGTTCTAGTTCAGTTCTAGTTCGTCTAGTTTCAGTTCTAGTTCAGTTCTAGTTCAGTTCTAGTATCAGTCTTCTAGTTTCAGTTCTAGTTCAGTTCATGTTCAGTTCTAGGTTCAGTTCTAGTTCAGTTCTAGTTCAGTTCTAGTTTCAGTTCTCTAAGTTCAGTTCTAGTTCACGTTCTAGTTCAGTTCTAGTTCAGTTCCTTAGTTTCAGTTCTAGTTCAGTTCTTAGTTTCCGTTCTAGTTCAGTTCTAGTTTCAGTTCTAGTTCAGTTCTAGTTCAGTTCTAGTAGTTCAGTTCTAGTTCAGTTCTCAGTTCAGTTCTAGTTCAGTTCTAGTTCAGTTCTAGTTCCAGTTCTAGTTCAGTTCTCGTTCAGTTCTAGTTCAGTTCTAGTTTCAGTTCTAGTTCAGTTCTAGTTCAGTTCTAGGTTCAGTTCCCTAGTTCAGTTCTAGTTCAGTTCTAGGTTCAGTTTCTAGTTCAGTTATAGTTCAGTTTTTCTAGTTTCAGTTTCTAGTTCAGTTTCTTTCAGTTCAGTTCTAGTTCAGTTCTAGTTCAGTTCTAGTTCAGTTCTAGTTCAGTTCTAGTTCAGTTCTAGTTCAGTTCTAGTTCAGTTCTAGTTCAGTTCTAGTTCAGTTCTAGTTCAGTTCTAGTTCAGTTCTAGTTCAGTTCTAGTTCAGTTCTAGTTCAGTTCTAGTTCAGTTCTAGTTCAGTTCTAGTTCAGTTCTAGTTCAGTTCTAGTGTTCTAGTTCAGTTCTAGTTCAGTTCTAGTTCATCTAGTTCAGTTCTAGTTCAGTTCTAGTTCAGTTCTAGTTCAGTTCTAGTTCAGTTCTAGTTCAGTTCTAGTTCAGTTCTAGTTCAGTTCTAGTTCAGTTCTAGTTCAGTTCTAGTTCAGTTCTAGTTCAGTTCTAGTTCAGTTCTAGTTCAGTTCTAGTTCAGTTCTAGTTCAGTTCTAGTTCAGTTCTAGTTCAGTTCTAGTTCAGTTCTAGTTCTAGTTCAGTTCTAGTTCAGTTCTAGTTCAGTTCTAGTTCAGTCAGTTCTAGTTCAGTTCTAGTTCAGTTCTAGTTCAGTTCTAGTTCTAGTTCAGTTCTAGTTCAGTTCTAGTTCAGTTCTAGTTCAGTTCTAGTTCAGTTCTAGTTCAGTTCTAGTTCAGTTCTAGTTCAGTTCTAGTTCAGTTCTAGTTCAGTTCTAGTTCAGTTCTAGTTCAGTTCTAGTTCAGTTTCTAGTTCAGTTCTAGTTCAGTTCTAGTTCAGTTCTAGTTCAGTTCTAGTTCAGTTCTAGTTCAGTTCTAGTTCAGTTCTAGTTCAGTTCTAGTTCAGTTCTAGTTCAGTTCTAGTTCAGTTCTAGTTCAGTTTAGTTCAGTTCTAGTTCAGTTCTAGTTCAGTTCTAGTTCAGTTCTAGTTCAGTTCTAGTTCAGTTCTAGTTCAGTTCTAGTTCAGTTCTAGTTCAGTTCTAGTTCAGTTCTAGATCAGTTCTAGTTCAGTTCTAGTTCAGTTCTCGTTCCTAGTCCATCGCCTAATCCTATCCGTATATCTTCATATTTGTAGACCTATTTCTAGTCCTATTCCCAGTCATATTCCTAGTCCTATTTCTAGTCCTATTCCTACTCCTACTAATATTCATATTCTTACTCCAAGTCCTTTTCCTAAATCTTTATTGTTATTCGAATTCAACTCCTGTAGAGATCTTTATTGGATCATTTTGGAAACATCAATATAAACCATTTAAAACCCTATTTTCTTTCCAGTGGTGACACAGCAACATGTCTGCACAATGCTCCCCATGAAGACAGTGCTTTGGGACGCTCACTACCCGGTACACTGCTCTCACTAGATGCTCAGTGTCGAAGAGATCGCGGTACCTATGCTTGTTTCAAAGACGAGCGCGTTTGCGCGCAATTGTTCTGTTTCGATGCTCAAACAGGTTACTGTGTAGCCTATAGACCGGCAGCGGAAGGTTCATCGTGCGGTAATGGTTTGGTAAGTTGGAGGGGTATTATGCAAAAAGGACATTTTTTTAATTTTTGTGCAAATTTTTAGCATTGTTTGGATGGACGGTGTACACCATTACCCTCAAATGTTATACCCAATTATGGACATCAATATCGTTTGGGATACAAGTAAGTTTTGGGGAATTGAAGGGAATATTTTTTTTTATAAAATTTTTAGCTTAATATATTATAATTGGGAAGAAGCTAATAGAAAGGAATTGGCTGAGTAAGAAAACGTGAAAATTTTATAAAAGCACTAAAATAAATTAAACGTTTTTAAAAGCACTTATAAACAAAAAAAAAACCAACAAATTTTTTTAATAAATTTTTTACTTCTTTTACACTTTTACTTTCCCTACAACACTTTCCAAAAACTCTACTCTACTCTATGATAAACTATACAAACAAAATTTGCGATATTTTTAAACAAAAACTACACTTAAAAAAAACTAAACAAAAAACACATAACTACACTGCAAAAAAATTTATATTTCAAAAAAACTCTTTATAAAGAACCAATGAGGCTATTGGTAATGATTATGAAAATAAATCCAAAGATTTGGAAGATAATTCCAATAACGAAGATGATGAGGAGGAGGAAGAAGATGAAGAGGAAGAAGAAGATAGTAGTGAAGAAGAGGAAGGGGGAGAAGAAGATGATGATAATGATAATGAAGATGAAGAAGTAGATAGTAATTATAGTGATAAACATACAGCCACTAATGATGATGATGAATTATATCTTAATGAACCTTTAAAGGAACTTAATGAAAAAGATTTAAATATAAAGAATATAGATTTATTTAAAGATAATAATGTGGATGAAACTATGCTTAAAGTACAAGATGAACAAGACGAAACTAAAGATACTATAAGAAACAAAACAAATCATACACAAAATACAAATTCAATCAATTTTAATACTTATCAGTATTTGGCACAATTATGGCAAAATTTACAGACTACAACAACAACAACAACTAGAAAACCTTTAAAGATTTCTAAAGAACACATAGTAAAACCCGAACAGCTACAGCTACAAAACCACAAAGCTAAGCAGGTTCGGGAACCAGTGGTGGTCAAGACAAGTACTAAGACTAGCATAAGCACTAGTAGTGCTAGTACACGTAGTCATAACCACAAAACTACAGCTACAACCACACAGCCACACAACCACAACACTTTAAACACACAAAACACAGCTACAACACCATCCACTACAACCACAACTACAGCTACAACTACAACTACTTCTACACTTTTTAAAAGTTTACGCAAACAATTTCAATACTATTTAAAATTATTACAAGAAAATAATAGTGATAATAGTAGTAGAAATAAACGCTTAACAAATAGTAATAAACAAAATTACAATAGACCAAAAATTTTGCCTTCTAAACCCTCTAGTAACAGTCTACAAAATGCAGCTGCCACAAATCCAGAGCAACAGCAGGAAGAGCAGGAGGAACACGAAGACAATGATGAAGATGGCGAAACAGCTGATGATGGTGCAAACAATGAGGGCAATGGTGGTGATGAAGAAAATGATGAAAGCAATGAAACTATAGAAAAACTAAAACGTAAGTTGTCGTCTAATTCCCTAACAACAAAAACTTTGCAACTACAGCAACAGCAATTGCCCACCACTGTTATGCCCCTAACTACTACTTACTTAGCTACTGCCACGCCTCGTTATGGCAGTAAATCCAGCACCGCTAGCACAGGACGTAGTAGCTTAGCCACGCCCATATTTTATGATAACTATACTAAGAAAACCCAACAAAATCAAAATAGCAATCAAAGGCCTTCAACTGCTGCGGAAAATAAAACCAAATTAAAAGATTCCAAACAGTCCAAAACACAGGAGGCTAAAGCAGAAGATGAAGAGGCTACATTTGAGGCCCAATTTCTAAAACGTACGCCTGTTAATACTCGCTCCACAAACGAGGAAGAGGATGTTAATGATGCCTTTACTAGTAGTAGTAGTAGTAGTTTAAATAATAATAATCCTTATTTTAATACTAAAACCACCAAAACTACCGGTAAACGTAGTAATAGCAATAATTCTAGATATAATAATAACAATCAAAATAATGAATCGACACGTTTACCCCAACAACAACCACAACAACAAACGCCTCTATTTGTAACAAATTATATTGGTGATAATACACAGCAACGTTTAACCACCATTCGACAACAGCAACAACATCACCAACCGCAACAGGCAACTTCTACTACAACATCCTTGCAACATTATAATAATCATCAAATATCTACCACACCAACACCACCACCACAACAACCATCATCACCTTACCATCAACAACAACAACAATCATATGATTCTATATATTTACTCTCTAGCACCACCAGAAGACCTAAAATAAAAACACAAAAACTTATACGAAGATTACGCACACAAATCAAATGAAATCATCAAAACATCACCCATCAAACTAAAACAAACTTAAAAATTTATCCAAAAACTGCTAAATTCTTGTAAACTCAAGAAATTTTAAAACAAAATTTGAAAAAAAAAACATAAACCGTTACTATTTTTTGTTTATGTGCGGTAAGCAATTTTTACAAAATATACTTCACAAGCCTGCTAAACAAAATAAACAAACAAGCAAAAAACTTAATCCCCATAGCTGCCACTAAAAGCTAACCTTTTAAACATTATTAAAAAGCTACCCTAAAAGTAGACTACAGTAAAAAACAATATGCCAAAAACACCAATCAAGCAAAAAAAAAAAACTATCATCACAAAACCAAAACAAACAAAATAAATCATTATCAGCTATACATTACTTTCAGTATTCTAATTTAGTTTAGTCATTAGAGCTTTTTTTTGCAGTAATTCTTTATTGGTTTGCAACACCTGCAAATCGAGTGCATCCAAAAATTAGTTTATCTTTAGCTGCCTTATATTCATAATCACTTCATTAAAACTATCAATTAATGATTTGCATGTTTTTTTATTTTCATTTCTTTTCTTTTTTTTTATTAGTAGTTAGTTCATTTCATTAAAAATTTTAATTTTGAAATTAATTTATCACTATAAAGTTAAGATTCAAGGGGGAAATCGGAAAAGCTTGAGAACAAAATGGGTATTTATCCATCAAATCTCTAAAACATAGTCCAAACTATGGTCTACAGTAAAAACTAGACTAATGTCTATAATACGGACTATAATCTATAGTCTATAATCTAGACTACAGTGTATAGTCCAGACTATAGTCTATAGTCCTGACTATAGTCTATAGTGCTGACTATAGTCCTGACTATAGTCTATAGTCCTGACTATAGTCTATAGTCCTGACTATAGTCCATAGTCCTGACTATAGTCTATAGTCCTGACTATAGTCCATAGTCCTGACTATAGTCTATAGTCCTGACTAATCTATAGTCCAGACTATAGTCTATAGTCCTGACAATAGTTTATAGTATAGACTATAGTCCAGACTATAGTCTATAATACAAACTAAAGTCTATAATTCAAACTATAGTCTATAGTCGAAACTATAGAGTATAATCTAAACTATAGCCTATAGTACAGACTATAGTCTATAGTCCAGACTGTAGTCTATAGTCCAGACTATAGTCTATAGTCCAGACTACAGTCTATAGTCCAGACTATAGCCTACTATAGAGTATAGTCTAGACTATAGTCCAGAGTAAAGCCTGTTCTATAGTCAGACTATAGACTATTATATAGTGTCCTCTATATTCCAGACTATGTCTATAATAGCTTATAATCTGGACTACAGTCTATAGTCCAGATTATAGTCTATAATCCTGACTATAGTCTATAGTCCTGACTATAGTCTATAGTCCTGACTATAGTCTATAGTCCTGACTATAGAGTATAGTCCTGACTATAGTCTATAGTCCTGACTATAGTCTATAGTCCTGGCTATAGTCTATAGTCCTGACTATAGTCTATAGTCCTGACTATAGTCTATAGTCCAGATTATAGTCTATAGTCCAGACTATTGTCTATAGCCCAGACAATAATCTATAGCCCAGACTATAATCTATAGCCCAGACTATAATCTATAGCCCAGACTATAATCTATAGTCCAGACTATAATCTATAGTCCAGACAATAGTCTATAGTCCAAACTACAGACTATAGTCCAGACTATAGTCTATAGTCCAGACTATAGTCTAAAGTCCAGACTCTATAGTCTAAAGTCCAGACTCTATAGTCTAAAGTCCAGACTCTATAGTCCAGACTATAGACTATAGTCCTGAACATAGACTATAGTCTAGAGTAAAGTCTGTTCTATAGTCCAGACTATAGTATACCCTATAGTCCAGATTATCGTCTACTCTATAGTCCAGACTATAGTGCATTCTATAGTCCAGACAATAGTCCATTCTATAGTCCAGGCTATAGTCTACTCTACAGTCCAGACTATAGTATACTCTATAGTCCAGACGATAGTATACTCTATAGTCCAGACTATAGTATACTCTACAGTCCAGACTATTGTCTACTCTATAATCCAGACTACAGTCTACTCTATAGTCCAGACTGTTGTCTACTGAATAGTCCAGACTATAGTATACTCTATAATCCAGGCTATAGTATACCCTATAGTCCAGACTATAGTATATCCTATAGTCCAGACTATAGTATACTCTATAGTTCACTTTATAGTATACTCTATAGTTCATACTATAGTATACCCTGTCCAGACTATGGTATACTCTATAGTCCAGACTATAGTAAACTCTATAGTACAGACTACAATCTACTCTATAATCCATACTTCAGTATACACTTTAGTCCAGACTATAGTATACTCTATAGTCCAGACTATAGTATATTCTATAGTTCATACTATAGTATACCCTGTCCAGACTATAGTATACTCTATAATTCACTTTATAGTATACTCTATAGTTCATACTATAGTATACCCTGTCCAGACTATGGTATACTCTATAGTCCAGACTATAGTATACTCTATAGTCCAGACTATAGTATACTCTGTAGTACAGACTACAATCTACTCTATAGTCCATACTACAGTATACTCTATAGTCCAGACTATAGTATATCCTATAGTCCAGACTATAGTATACTCTATCTTTCACTGTATAGTATACTATATAGTTCATACTGTAGTATACCCTGTCCAGACTATAGTATACTCTATAGTTCATACTATAGTATACCCTGTCCAGACTATAGTATACTCTATAGTTCACTTTATAGTATACTCTATAGTTCATACTATAGTATACCCTGTCCAGACTATGGTATACTTTATAGTCCAGACTATAGTATACTCTATAGTACAGACTACAATCTACTCTATAGTCCATACTACAGTATATTCTATGGTCCAGACTATAGTATACTCTATAGTCCAGACTATAGTATACTCTATAGTCCAGACTATAGTATACACTATTATTCATACTATAGTATACTCTATAGTCCAGACTATAGTATACCTTATAGTCCTGACTATAACATACTCTATAGTTCATACTATAGTATACCCTGTCCAGAATATAGTCCTGACTATAGTATACTCTATACTTCATACTATAGTATACTCTACAGTCCAGACTATAATATACTCTTTACTCCAGACTGTAGACTACAATTCAGACTAATCTATAGACCAGATTATAGCATATTCTATAGTCCAGGCTACATTTTTTTTATACTTCTGACTCTACTCCATTCTAAGTATTTTCTAGAGTCCAGACTTTTGGTCTTTTCTATAGTCCAGTTTCTATAGTCCTTACTATAGTCTATTATATAGTTCAAACTATAGTTTGTGCTACAGTTGATCGTCTATTCGTTTAGTGGCGTCAATAATCCAGATTACAATAATTTCCCTAGTTTATTCTTTTCTTGATAGAACACGTAATGTTTTCTCCTCCTTTTAGAAACTTTAGATTTCATCTACCCCTAAAACTTACTACGTAAGCGATTATCTCAAATGTTTTAATAATAGCATGTTAGAACTCTTTATAGAAAAATACAATAATTATGCATCTTTAAACATAAATCATTAAATAAAAATATTTCAATATTTCTATCATCATACTTTCTTTCTACTCTCTACCTGTCTGTCTGTCTGTCTGTCTATGAGCATTATTTTTAGCGGCATTTAGAAAAAAACAACTCACATAACATTAATTGAAATCGCATGACCATTATCCATCGAACTTTCAATCAAACAATTATGTAGTAAATCAATAAATAAAATAAAATTCATCAAATAAATTGGAAACGTTATAATTTATCAAAAAATTAAAACATATACAAAACTTATTACATCAAAAAAAAGATAAAAACAAAACATTTTGAAACACTCATACCAACACAGCTACACAGAAACAAATTACATTATCCCAAATAGTTAAATCATAAAAAACATATAACCCTGATAATTACAAGTAAATTAGAAATTATAATTTATTTAAAATAAAAAGTAGCATGGATATTATGGAATCAAACACCCAACAAAAGCTAATCATTAAAAATCATTATAAAATTTATTATAAAGTAAAACAAAAACTACATTACTAAAACCGGTAAAAAGTTGCCTCTAGAGTCTAAAAATGGAAGTACAAATAGAAGCTGTTTAATTACTATTAAATTAATAATAATTAAAAGGATTTAAATACACACACACAACCAAAAAACCGCATGTGGGGCCCAGAGCTATTAAGTTTGAGCAAAATCATACATTTATTTATGGGTTTTATATTAAAATGCCTGAACTTTAACCTTTTGCCTGTTAATTATTTAATTTTATATTGAAATTTTAATAAAATTTTTTAATAATTTTTTTTTTATTTTTTCCTTTTTCTTTTCTTTATTTAGTGGTTAATTGGAAAGCCTTTCCATTTTGATGATAACTGCTGTTGTTGTTTTTAAACTTTTAACTTTAAAACCGAAGGTGTTTTTTTCCTTAGAGGATATAAAATAAATCTATAGAAATTAAAGAAATTTAGTTAAAATTTTATACATTTTTATAAAAAAAACTCAAACGCAAAACATACTCGTGTACAAGTGTAAAACTACAAGCTGTTTATCATCTTAATTAACATTTAAACTTCATAATCATTAAAGAAAAACTTCATTTCAATAATACCATTTCATTACACAACATTTGAATTTTTAACCCTTGACTCCCCCGACACCTAATTTAAACACCAATCGCTCAACCAACCAACCAACCAACCACTTCATACAATCACACTAATCGTTTAATTGTATTTTGTAAAGAAAAAAATTGTTTGTATAAAGTAATTGCCATTAATTTTAATTATTTTTTTCAATTAAATTCAAATTGAATAATATCGTTGTTAAGTGAAAAAAAAAACTAAAACTTTAAACAAAAAAAAAAAAAACAAATCCTCTTTTTTTGTTGGAAGACAACAACCCCCAACTCTGAACAAAATATGCAAAAGTTTTAGCTAGAATTTATTAATTTTATATTTGTAAAAAATACATTATATTATTATTTTTATTATTATTATTATATTTTTTTATTGTTTTATGTTTTATTTTGTAAATTATAATTTAATTTTATATTATACTTTTTCTTTGTTTAAGTTAAGCTTTTAAAATATTATTTTATTTGTAATTTAATTTTAATTAAAAACAAAACAAAATTGTGCAACAACAACAACAAAAAAACAAACCCTCAATAAAATTATTGGACCTATACTTTTAGTGGCTTAAAAATATTGTAAATTATATATATAAAATGCAAAAAAATAAAGAAAACAAATAAAATTTGTAGAAAAACAAAAAAATTTAAATTTAAAAATAAACTTTAGTTTGTTTCTATGAAAGAGAGGGGGGAAATCTCTACAACAGACCATAGAATAGACCATAAACTATAGCTTAGACTATAGACTAGATTATAGGCTAGACTATAGACTTGACAATGGAAATCTCTACAACAGACCATAGAATAGACCATAAACTATAGCTTAGACTATAGACTAGACTATAGACTAGACTATAGACTAGACTATAGACTAGACTATAGACTAGACTATAGACTAGACTATAGACTAGACTATAGACTTGACTATAGACTAGACTATAGACTAGACTATAGACTAGACTATAGACTAGACTATAGACTAGACTATAGACTAGACTATAGACTAGAATATAGACTAGACTATATACTAGACTATAGACTAGACTATAGACTAGACTATGGACTAGACTATAGACTATACTATAGACCAGACTATAGACTTGACTATAGACTAAACTATAGACTAAACTGTAGACTAGACTATAGACTAGACTATAGACTAGACTATAGACTAGACTAGACTATAGACTAAACTGTAGACTAGACTATAGACTAGACTATAGACTAGACTATAGACTAGACTAGACTATAGACTAGACTATAGACTAGACTATAGACTAGACTAGACTATAGACTAGACTATAGACTAGACTATAGACTAGACTATAGACCAGACTATAGACTAGACTATAGACTAGACTATAGACTAGACTATAGACTAGACTATAGACTAGACTATAGACTAGACTATAGACTAGACTATAGACTAGACTATAGACTAGACTATAGACTAGACTATAGACTAGACTATAGACTAGACTATAGACTAGACTATAGACTAGACTATAGACTAGACTATAGACTAGACTATAGACTAGACTATAGACTAGACTATAGACTAGACTATAGACTAGACTATACTAGACTAGACTATAGACTAGACTATAGACTAGACTATAGACTAGACTATAGACTAGACTATAGACTAGACTATAGACTAGACTATAGACCAGACTATAGACTAGACTATAGACTAGACTATAGACTAGACTATAGACTAGACTATAGACTAGACTATAGACTAGACTATAGACTAGACTATAGACTAGACTATAGACTAGACTATAGACTAGACTATAGACTAGACTATAGACTAGACTATAGACTAGACTATAGACTAGACTATAGACTAGACTATAGACTAGACTATAGACTAGACTATAGACTAGACTATAGACTAGACTATGGACTAGACTATAGACTAGACTATAGACTATAAACTATAAACTTTAGACTAAAGTTCAGATTATAGTGCAGACTATAGTTTAGACTTTAGGTCAGATTTATTATAGATTATAATATAGTTCAAACCGTAGCCCATACTATAATTCAGACTATAGTCCATAATATAGTACAGATTATAGTTCAGACTTTAGTCCGGACTATAGTCGAGACTATATTACAGATTAAAATGCACACTATAGTCCAGGCTATAGTTTATCCTACAGTCCAGAATGTAAACCAGATTATAGTCATTGTTTGGCATCAATCCAATTTGTCCAAGATTTTGTATGAAAATAAAACAAAATAAAGTTTTCAAGTTTTGTGAGACGTAGATCTCCTTTTTATTAAAAACCAAAAGATTACCTCGTAGAAGGTTTGCAGGTTTTTATATAAAAGATAAAGTGCACGTAGTGCTTGTCGTAGACAACATCAATATCTTAAGACTGTGTAAAACGAACTTAATTTGGTGGCAAACAATATTTAAGTACCGTTAACGGTTTACTCGTTAGAATCTTCCAGCAAAGATGTATAAAATTGGCATTAGATTCTAACGTTGTTAAAAATAGTATTATTCATTAAAAGGAGCAATTACCAAAATGCAGCTCGCAACAAAACTCGCTTAAACATTGCCGGCCACCTTGCAATATCTCAAGCATATTGTAACAATTAATTCATTTGCAATATCTTAAGCAGAATGAAACAAATGTTAATATAATAATTCATTCGCAATATCTTAAGCCGAGTGAAACTAATGAAAATATAATAATTCATTTGCAATATCTTAAGCCGAATGAATCATGGTTGGTTTTATGACAGATCCATCAACTGTATAAACTAAATACTTAAATATTAGGCAAAACGTAAACATATTTTAGTGAGCTTATTTAGTGATAATGAAGTAAATTTTTCGATAAAAGTATTTCAATTCCTATGCGACCAAGTCGAATATTCCGGAAAGTTAAAAACTGAATTAAATTGATTAGGATTAACTAGACCTGTCAGAATCCAGCCAAAAATCGTCTTTTGTGCTAATAACGACCCTAATAAGTTTCGTTGTATATCCGGTAAAACAATCCAAGGGTATAGATCAGCGCCAATAAGGATATCAATAGGTCGGCTATCAAAAGGATTAAAATCCGCCAAACGAAGATTTGGCAATAATTTTTGAATGTTGGCGTTGACGGAAGTCGTAGGCAAATTTGTCGATATTTCTGGTAAAACAAATGCATTTATATTTAGTTCTACGGAAGAATCGAAGTTAGATCCGATTTTCAAAGAACAAATATTTCTTGAAACTACTGATGCAGTATTATTGACACCAGAAATTTCAACATTCGTAGAACGCGAGGAAATGTTAAACCTTTTTCGTAATCGCTCAGTAATAAACGAGCATTCCGAACCCGGATCAATCAAAGCACGGACCTGATACTTATTGTTATTATGTTTTATATTAACAGTCGCTGTCCCTAAGAGTACGAACGGATTATATCTAGTATGAAATACTTGACGGTTTGACGTAATATTATTCGACGTTGTCGATGGTTGATTATTTTGAGGCGAATTAGTGGTTCGTAGAACCGCACCAGAATTCTGTTCAGTAGAAACAGAAGGCATTTCTGTATGCTGAATATGAAGCATAGAATGGTGCCGATTATTGCAAATAAAACAATTACTATTAACTTTACAATTGCTGACATTATGTGTCCTCGAAAGGCAATTAGAACAGCAATTATATTTGTTTACGGTAGAAATTCTTTCCATTATTGAAAGATTTTTAAACTTTCGACAATTTCGCAAAAAATGGGACTGGTTTGGACACAATATACACGATGGTTTTGAGGAAGTAGCATCGTAAGAATGTACTGAAGATTCCACATCAGTAGAGTTGGTCTCTTTAAGGTCGTGAAGACATTGCAATGTTTGAATTCTTTCCGTCAGAAAGTTATCAAAATCATGCCAAGTAGACAACACAGATTTGTCCTTAACGCCCTGTTCCCATAAAATCACAGTTGACCTAGGCAGACGCTGAATACATATGAAAATAATAATTGGGTCCCAATTCTCAGTAGGAATTTTATAAATAGAAAGAGCCGTAAGGCAACTATTAATTCCTCGTTGTAAAGTTTTAAGGGCTGTTATTGATTCCTTGTCAAAGGAAGGAAGACCAAATAAAAGTTTGAGTTGGTTATGTACCAACATACGAGTATTTTCATATGTTTCTTTCAAATCGCGCCAGGCTAAGTCAAAACTTTCATTAATTAATGGATATTTTGTCACAATATCTTTAGCTTCACCCTCGGTTTTACGTATTAAATGGCAAAGACGTTCTATATTACTAAGCCGCGAGCTATTTATATAAATTGCCGTGAATAAATCTCGAAAAGTAGGCCAAGAAACATAATCCCCACCGAATGTGTCGACATCACAAGGGGGTAGAGTCAGATTGTGTTCTGAATTGCCACAATTTAAATTTACCGCTGAAGAGTTACTATTCTTCGAATCACGTTTAAATTTGTCCATTTTCTGATTAATAGAGCCTAAACATTGAAAATAAGCCATATATGTGGTCTGATACTTCGAAGCAGCCACGTCTACATCACTAGATTTACTGGAGGCAGAAGTTTCGAAAAACTTTAGACAAGCTGTATAAGATGTCCTAACTTTCTCCCACAATCGTCTTATTTCCTCGCCCTGAATCTCTAATGTATAAACGTTATGAATTTCCTCACCTAAATCATTAAACATCGCGCCGAAAGTGACAAGAGCATCCGATGCTCTAATAAATTCGTTTAGTGGCGTAACAGACATGTTTAATATTAAAAAAAAATTAATAAAATGTAAGGAAATTAAAAATCAGAACTAATTCACGACAAAAAATATTATAATTAGTTTTAAATGTCAAGCAACAAACGTGACAATGGCTAAACTGACCGACCGTAGGGTGACCAATATAATGGAAGAACAAGAATTAACCGTATATGTATTTTGTTTTTATATTTTACAGATGTAAATCTGTAAACAAATGAAGCACAAAAGAAAATATAAAAACACTAATTTATTGAAAATAAAAAAATAACTTTAATTTATTGTCAGTCGGAGCAAAAAAAATTAAAATTTTCAATAAATTAATTAAGGGATAGATTGCACTGTATTAAATATTAAAAGTAAAAATGACGAAAAAATACAAAAAGAACTTTGTGTATGTGTGCGCGTTAAAACAACCGAGTTTTTTATCACTTCACTTTTGCTCACAAAATATATTTACGTACCTTAATTATTTCGTAGAAATAAATAATAAATATATTGCCAGTGGACTGTATTATTGAGGATGATGGACTTCAAAAGATGCCAATAAAATCCAGTACTCAATTCAGGAATCCGGTTCGCTAGGACCAAATGTTTGGCATCAATCCAATTTGTCCAAGATTTTGTATGAAAATAAAACAAAATAAAGTTTTCAAGTTTTGTGAGACGTAGATCTCCTTTTTATTAAAAACCAAAAGATTACCTCGTAGAAGATTTGCAGGTTTTTATATAAAAGATAAAGTGCACGTAGTGCTTGTCGTAGACAACATCAATATCTTAAGACTGTGTAAAACGAACTTAATTTGGTGGCAAACAATATTTAAGTACCGTTAACGGTTTACTCGTTAGAATCTTCCAGCAAAGATGTATAAAATTGGCATTAGATTCTAACGTTGTTAAAAATAGTATTATTCATTAAAAGGAGCAATTACCAAAATGCAGCTCGCAACAAAACTCGCTTAAACAGTCATACTATAGTCCAGGATATACATATGTAGTTCATTCCATAATCCAGCTCAGATTATAGTTCAAACTCTATTACAGACTATAGTTCAGCCTATATTCTACCCTATAGTTCAGACTCTATTCCAGACTACAATTCAGACTCTATTCCTGACTATAATTCAGACTATATTGCACACTATAGTTTATAAAAGTCGAAAAAATACAAAATAAGTTAATTTTTTTTAATTTCTTTATTTTTATTTGCTAAATAGCAACCTAAGTATTGTAGAAAAAAAAATTAGATCTTTGACCCTCAACCACGCACACATTTCAAACTTAAATCAAATTGGAAAAACGAATATGTCATCAATCTATGTGAAAATCCCCTTAATTCCTGCCCGGCAATGGTAAATACCTATTATAGGTGATAACATTTCTTATCAAAGCGGCCACAGAAATAATGCAAATCATGCCGGCAGGCATCAATTTGCCGGAACGATTCCATCTAGCACCCATCATGCCGGCCAAAGCCAACGAAGTACTCAATTGCAACAAAGGACGTGGTGGCTCTTGGGAATTCAAGTGGGCACCAAAACCAAGTATGGCACCAAAAGCTAAACCGGCACCCAAAGAGGGTAATGAACCTTTAAAGAGGAAATTTACATGAAAATTATTGCACAATAAAGTGAATGGCTAAACGGTATAACAAACCTGCTTTAACATAGCCCATAATACCACCGGCTGCAACAGTGGCAGCATAAAGATAACCAATTAGATCAGCAGGCATTTTTTAATAATTTTATTTATTATTTGTTAACACAAAAAAAAACTTCAAAAAGACGTGCAATCACTTGATGTTAAAATATCAACTCAACAAAAACTACAAACAAGTAAAACCAGACACATTAACCAGATGATGACAACATAAAGAAGAGGAATTTTCTTATATTTTTTACATATAGAGTTTGACAATAGTGGATTATCGTTTTTATATGAAACTAAATAGTAAACAATAATCAGCTGTTCCTATGTTGCCACCTTGCTATATCACCTTGTAGCAAAACACCAACATACAGAAACAAAATGTTAATAGTTTATGAAGAATGATGGCAGAAAATTAAGATATTTATGTTGTTGAAACATTTAAGTTTTTAAAAAATACTTTAAAAATTAATGTTTTTTAATTGATTTAATAAAAATATGCTAAAATTTAGTTAAAAAGTAAAGTAATTTGTATATTTTTGCTGAGACAAAAATGTTCACTAATTTTTTTCGTAACAAATTTACACTAGTATTTGTATGATAAAAACTTTAAAATTCCTTAACATTATTAATATTTCTTTAGTTCTTACCTTTTTAGTTAGTTTTTGTTATCAAAATTACCTTTATTTCACAAACTTTTAGGAAAATGTATCTTTTTATAGTACACACTGTGTATTGTTAGTTGCTTATAAGAATTTCACTACTTGTTGGATGTATTTCTTAAGGCATTTAATGCTTTGTTAATTATTTGCAAATATCATATTAACTTTATTAATTAGTTTTTATTGTTTAAATTACACTTATTCCACAAATTTTAATTAAAAACTATACTTTCTTTTTTCCCGCGAAACTGCTATGCAAAAAACCGACAAGCCACTTACAGAAATCGAAGGCGAACATTTATGAAAACGCCGCTGAAAAAAAGCTTACATTGGCAAAAGACAAATGACGACATATTGAAATAAAGTGTTAATAGTGTATGGTGAATGATGAAAGAAAATGAAGAAAATGAATGTTGATAAATTATTTAACTTTTACAAAAAAACTTTAGAAATTAAATTTGTTTAATTAATTTAATAAAAATATGCTAGAATTTTGTTAAAGAGTATAGTAATTTGAATAATATTGTTGTTAACACAAAAATGTTGATTTTTTTCGTAACACATTTTCACAGGTTTTTTATAATAAAAACGTTTAATTTTCTTTTTATTATAAATATTTCTTTAGTTTTTACTTTTTAAGGTAGTTTTTATTATAAAAATTACCTTTATTTCACAAACTTTTAGGAAAAATGTATCTGTGTGTATACACACTGTATGTTTTTAGTTGTTTATAAGAAGTTCACTACTTGTTAGTTATATCTATTAAAGCATTTAATGCTTTGATAATTATGTGCAAATATCATTATTAACGTTATATCCTCCTTTTTTAACTTTATTAGTTAGTTTTTATTGTTAAAATTACACTTTTTCCACAAATTTTACTTAAAAACTATTTCCCGCTAAACTACTACGCAAAAATACCGAGATGTCACTTACAGAAATCAGAGGCAAACAGTTAAAAGAACGGCGTTGAAAAAAGCTAACTTACTACTACGTTTTGCTACAAAATGCAAACTACAAAAGTTTGAAAAAATGTCAGATACGTCGTTTTTTTAATTAAAGTTACTTTATATACACGTAGCATCAAATTTATTCAAATTAAATTTTATTTTACGTTGTAATGCTCTTTTCAATGTCTGCTTTATAAAATTGTACTTCAATTGTTTTTAATTAAAAATTCGTCATTCACATGAGAATGATAGCAAGAACGAAAAACAACCGTTACCTTTTGAAGGTAGAGTTATATCTTCTGGTTTAATAAAAATTACCCACAATACTTGTAAAATACATAATTCAAAAATACATAAAATAAATTGTGGATTCGACAATACTCTATAAATATCATTGTGCATCGTACCAAATCATTTCCATGACAATATTTACGGTTAAAAAGTTTTTATTTTTTATTACAATTTCTCTGTTTTACAGCAAAAAAATTTATTTTATTATTTATTTATTTTATTCATTTATTTTGTTCATTTGATTTTAGATTTCTACATTTACATTTTTAGATTTACATTTGACTTTTTCGTTATAACATCAACATTATCCAAATCTGTTGTTACTTCCATAACATCTGAATTATTTCTATCAGCTTTTCTTTTATTATTTAAATTTACCTTATTAGATTTAACACCAACATTATTCAAATCTGTCCAATCTTCCCTAACATCCGGAGGATTAATTGTTGTAGACTCTTTAAAACCAGATACTGAAGGACTATCGTCACAATTTGTTACCTTAAACTTACTCTTCCTTTTTTTCTTGCTATGTGTTTTGGAACCGCAGGTATCACATTTCATACATTCATGATAATGTATAAACAAATGCCTTTTTAAAGCAGACTCACTTTCGAATATTTCGAAACATATGGAACACTGTATATTAACGGGCCATTCATGGAGCGGATGCATTTCCTTTAAATGTTCTGTTTGTTGGTGTGGTGTTGCTAAAACTTCTGGACAATTGGGGCACTTATAGGTGCCTCGGACAAAATGTCTTCGACGACAATGTCTATAGAGTTCAGTTAAAGAATTGTAATGAATATAACACAGATTACACGAAAATGGACGATAAGGCATATGTGTAAAAGTGTGCGTCAGGCAACCGTTTAAACATGTTTTCAATTTAGTCTTACAAGTTGGACATTTCAGAGATCCATCGGAATCTTTAAAATACACCTTTGATTTCTCAAAAATATCATGTTGTGTGGTTATATGTGTATGCCATTCCTTTTGATTGGACATGCTCTCATTGCAGACAGGACAAGCGAAACTAATAAATTCAGCAAATTCATTGAGTACCTCGGAGTACAGTACGGTTTGAGGTAAATTTGATTGAGCTGCAGTGCGCTGATTTTCGTTAAGTAAATCCTTTTTATTTATCCTTAATCGAGGTTTTTCTATGGGTTTGTAATAGTGCATATTGGATTTATGACCGTTACAGGTGCTAAGCTTGACATAAGATAATGGACAAAAGGGACATTTATAAATCTTTTCATCAAAATGTGTAAACACATGTTCTAAACGCAGCATTTGATCGTTTTGTGAAAATTTCTCGTGACAAACTATGCACATCAACATAGAATTATCCATTAATGTAAAGAATTCCTCAAAATTGTTGTGTTTATCTTGGTAATGATCAAAAGCATCTTTAACAGCAGCGAATTTCTGGTAGTTACAAATAGCACATTGTATCTCTATCTTAGTGTGTTCCGACATATTTGGTTTTAAAACTTGATTAATATCCTTGTCACCATTACAACCTTTCAGCAAATGATTAACAGCCCTTTTAAATGTAGCCAATGATTGCTTACAGTGGCGGCATTTATAGGCTTTAAAGGGTAAATGTTTAAAACGATGAGAATGTAATTGTACCGGAGTATTTGCTACCAGCGAATGACAAATGTTACAATGTAATTTATTGTTGTCAGCAGCTGCAACCTTCATCTCCAAACCTTTGGGAGTGTCAATTGCATGTTTACTTCTTAAATGTTCTTGCCAACTTAATAATTGATTAAACTCTTCTTTACAAAATGGACAAACATGTGCCATATATTCTTCAAATTCCTGTAAATTTTTTATTTTCTTTTTTCCTTTATCTTCTTTATATTGTTTGGTATAATAACTTATCATTTTAGTACACATGTGACCACTGCGCCCTGTATCTCTATAAGTACGTTTTTTCCCACAAAATCTACACGACCAAAAGATCGTGTTATCATGTTCTAGATAATGTTTTAGTAATTTACTTGTATCATTTCTAAGATAAATTATATGACATTTACCACAGGCTAAGTATTCCTTATCGGCAAAAATTTTCCGAAAATTTAATTTTTTCCAGCAATTTAAGTCATGTTCTACCATTAAATGGTTCAAATACAGTTGCTCGTCAGCGAATCTTTCATGCTGGCATAGATGACAATTGTAAAGAAATTTATCTTTATATTCCTGAGGATGTTTGTCCATAAAGTGATGCCAAATTTTCTGGTTCGGATTGTTCACAAAAGTGTAATGACAAATTGGACACTTGTTTGTTTCTTTGTCATTAAACAATTTTTTATATTCCTTCACAATATCCGGATGCTGTGCAACGAAATGTGTTTGTATATATTTTGTGGTTTTATAACTGCACATTTTACACTTTAACAGCCTCAAACCTTGAGAATTTTCACGGTGTCCTACTGTATGTCTATACCTATTAAAATCATATTTATATTCTCGTTGACATTTCTTACATGTTCCATACTTTTCACTTATAACATATTCATTTTGAGCTTCTTCAATAGCATTTTTATGCTTTAGTTTTATATGCTTGAGCATTTCTTTATATGTGGCAAAATTTTTGTTACATTCTGGGCAAACATGTTGTATATGATTTTTTAAAAGCCAATATTTTAAAGTAATTTTGCATAAACTATTTGTGTTAGATCTATTGCCTTCTGCAACATGGTCCTTTTTTGATATATCTTTTGCGTAACCCTTATTATCTGAACTACCATAAACTTCTTCATCCTCATCATCGGTATCATCATCTTCACCCTCATAATCATAATCATCTTCATCTTCTTCACTTAGTTCATACAAATCATCCGTAAAATTCTCACTCTGCTCATCCTCTTCCTCGTTATCTTCGTTTTCATCTAAATATTCAATTTTATAATGTTCAAGGGACGATTCATTTTTTACATAAACATCTTCCCTAAATTCCTGACAATATTCTTGATAATAATCATTTTGTTCATCTTCAAATTTTATTGGTATCCATTGTTCATCACTTTCAATTATTAGCTCATCTTCTTCTTTAATTTCATTTAACAACACAGTATTTGTTTCACCATCTTCATCTTTAATATTATTTACTTCCATCTTTATGGTAATATCCATTGTTGCTGAAAATAGCTTTCCTGAAAAATATTTAGAATATTTATGTTTTCTATTATTTCAATGGGTAAACGGGAGAAGTCTATGAGGAGCAATATGGAAGACTTACTGCAACGAAACTATAAAGTGGCCACAGATTTCGCTCTTAATGCCGGTAAGCATCAAACCGTTTCTTTGTCCCTTTTGCCAATAGAATCGCATGTGTGAAATCCATCAAACTCTGTAGATTTTTCAATTGCTCACCTTTATGTGTGTGAGGAAAAATAAAGGAAACTGTGGTGGACACTACTTTAACATTAACAAGATGATGACAACACAAAGAAAAGGAAATTTCTTATTTTTTTCATATTTTGTTTGACCAAACAGAATTATTGTTTTTATATGAAACTAGTAATCACAGATATAACCTACCCTATAAGAAATGAATGACCGAAACTAACACATACAAAATGATTTTACTAACACACACGCAACATTTTTTTTATAGAATTGTCGAAAAAAAAATTTAATGGATGATTCCATCAACAATGACGGTCAAATGACCGGTAAAATGACCGTTACTGGACCCAATGTGTGGTATAGGGTTGAATTTGCATATGAAAGAATGAAACAACTACATTTTGATTAAAATGTATTAAAATTTATATTTTGATCAACAATGACAGCCAAATGACCGATCAAATGACTGTCACTGTGTTACAGAGTTGTATTTTTCGTCGTTACAAATTAATTGTTTCTGCGAAAGCTAAAGATCAAGAAGCGAAAAAATAAAAAAATTACAAAGTCTTTAAATTATTAAAAATAAAGAGAATTATTATAAACTAAATTTTAAAAAAGTTCAGGAAGTGGATCAGAAGATAAACAATTCGGAGTTTAATCAATCAATGGTAACATAAATATGTACTTATGATTTTTATATTTCGATATTTATGAATACTTATGTATTTCTTTACAGACAACTTATTTCCACAAATTAATAGGAGCATCAGAGGACTTAAGATTCTGCGAGATATGTAAAATGGTGAAAAGACTGGTAATTTATGTATATGATTACTATATTAATAAAATTAACAATATATATATATATTAAAATATCAATAAATTGTGTTTTATTATAAATTGGTATAGCCGTCAGATTTGACGGATATATTCATCAAGTGTGATTAGTCAACAATGACCGATTAATGCATCATTTTTTTATTTGTTAACTGTGATGGATATATCCATCAAGCATGATTAGTCAATCATGACTAATATTTATATCATCCATGATTAGTAAACAACAAAAGAGTGAGCAGCTCAAATATATGTTTTAAAGTCGATAGAATTCATAAGTGCGAGGGTGATGCAACATCACATGTACACAAATGTTTCCATCACTTTTTACATATTGCCCTTAAGAAAGTGATGGGAGCTTTGTTCTACGCAATGATGGGTATATTCTCAGTAGTGACAATCAATTGACCGGTCAAATGACTGTCACTGTTCTTATAGGGTAGTAATTAATATTCAGCTGGTTGTATGTTGCCACCTTGCACAAATATCAACATACACAAACAAAATGTTAATAGTTTATGGTGAATGATGAAAGAAAATGAAGATATTTATGTTGATAAAATATATTTGTCTTTTAAAAATACTTTAAAATTTAATGTTTTTTAATGAATTTATTAAAAACATACTAGAATTATGTTAAAGAATAAAGTAATTTGTATAATACTTTTGTAAACACAAAAATTTTCATTGTTTTTTTTTTGTAACAAATTTACACTAGTTTTTTGTAATCAAAACTTTCAAATTTCTTAATATTAATAATATTTCTTTAGTTCTTACCTTTTTAGTTAGTTTTTCTTATAAAAATTAAGGTAATCTTCATAAACTTTTAGGAAAAATGTACTACTTGTTCTCTACACACTATTTATTTAAACATTACTTTGTTTATTATATGCAAATGTCATTATTAACGCAATTTTTTACAATTTTCGACTCTTTTCGACTTTTTCCGACTTTCTTCGACTTTTTTCGACTTTCCGATTTTTTGACTTTTCGACTTTTATTTACAAAGTCGACTTTTCGACTTTTTCATAGACGATAGTCGAGTTATCGACTTTTTTGGAACAAAATAGTCAACTTCGACTTTTTTCCACAAAAAGTCGATTGTTCGATTATTCGAAAGTCGATTTATAGAACCCTACAAGATACGTTGATACAAAAGAGTTGGGGATTCGAAAATACTGTATAGATATTTCGCATTGTGCATATTGAAAACTTATTATTCTGTATTAAATTTTATTTTATTTTATTTACTTTTTGCCTTCTTTGATTTAACATCAAACTTATCCAATTCTGTTACTTCCATAACATCTGGTTTAATTCTAGGAGATTTTCTTTTATTTAAATTTGCCTTCTTAGTTTTGACATCAACGTTAAACAAAACGGTCGCATCTTCCTTAATATTTACCATAACTTTACAACCTGACACTGAAGGAATATCGTCACCAGGTTTTTCCTTAAACTTACTCTTTTCATCTTTCTTGCTATGTGATTTGGAACCGCAGGTATCACAATTTATACGTTCGTTATTATGTATAACCATATGCGTACTTAAAGCAGACTTATTTCCTAATATTTCGTAACATAAGGAACACTGTATATTAACGGGCCATTCATGGGGCGGATGCATTTGCTTTAAATGTTCTTTCTGTTGGTGTGATGTTGCTAAAACTTCCGGGCAAATGGGACACTTAAAGCTGCCTTGGGCAAAATGTTTCTGGCGAAAATGTCTGTAAAGTGTAGCTAAAGAACTGACACGAACATAGCACAGATTGCATAGAAATGTACGGTGAGGCATATGTGTTAACTTGTGTTGCAGGCGACGGTATAAATAGTTTGGCAAACTACTTTTACATGTTAGACATTTCAAAGATCCATCGGAGTCTTTATAAGACACATTTGATTCATCAAAAATATCATGTTGTGTGGTTATATGTGTATGCCATTCCTTTTGATTGGGCAGACCTTCATTGCAGGCAGGACAAGCGAAACTTATGAATTCAGCAAAACCATTGAGTACGTGAGAGTAAAGATTGGGTTGAGCTAACTGTGATTGGACTGCTGAGGATTGATGATTTGCTGTTTTTTCTTTTTTTAGATCCAGGGGTTTGTAATAGTGCATCTGTATCTTATGAAATCTACAGGTGTTGTACTTGACATGGGAAGTATTACAAAATGGACACTTAAAGATCTTTTCCTCAAAATGTGTAAACACATGTTCTAAACGCAGCTGTTGTTCGGTTTGTGCAAATTTCTTGTGACAAACTATACACATTGCGTCTGAGGTAAAGAATTCCTCAAAATTGTTGTGTTTATATTGGTAATGTTCAAAAGCCTCTTTAGCATCAGTGAATTTTTGGTAGTTACAAAAAGCACATTGTATCACCACCTTAGCGGATTCAATCATATTTGGTTTTAAAACTTCCTTAATATAATCTCTATCCTTGTCATCTTTACAGCGTTTCACCACATGATTAACTGCCATTTTGAAAGTAGCTAATGATTGCTTACATTGGCGGCATTTATAGGCTTTAAAGGGTAAATGTTGAAAACGATGACAATGTAATTGTACCGGAGTATTTGCTACCATTGTATGGCAAATGTTACAATGTAATTTATTGTTATCTGCTGCTATCATTTCCAAACCTTTAAGAGTATCAATTGCATGAATACTTCTCAAATGCTGTTGCCATTTAAGTAATTTTTTAAATTCTTCTTTACAAAATGGACAAACATGTGCCATATACTCTTCAAATTCCTGTAAATTTTTTATTTTCTTTTCTCCTTCAACTACTTTATGTTGTTTGGTATAATAACTTATCATTTTAGTACACATGTGTCCACTACGTCCTGTATCTTTATAAGGACTTTTCTTCTTACAAAATCTACATGACCAGCAGATCGTGTTATCGTGTTCTAGATAATGTCTTAGTAATTTACTTGTATCATTTTTAAGATACACTATATGGCATTTAATACAAGCTAAGTATTCCTTATCATCAAAAAGTTTTCTAAAATTTAAGTTTTTCCAGCAATTTAATTCATGGTCCGCCATTAAATGCTGCAAATACAGTTGCTCGTCAGCGAAACATTCGTGCAGACATAGATGACAATTGTAACGAAATTTCTCCTGATATTCCTGAGGATGTTTATCTATAAAGTGATGCCAAATTTTCTGATGTTTACTGTTCTTATAAGTGTAATGACAAATTGGGCACTTGTAGGTACTTTTCTCTTTATTGTATTTTTTATATTCATTCACAATGTTCGGATGCTGTTCAATGAAATGTCTTTTTATAGATCTTTTGGTTTTATAACTGCACATTTTACACTTTTTCTCCGTTAAATCTTGAGTATTTTCACTGTGTTGTAGTGAATGTTTATATCTATTAAAACCGCTTTTATATGCTCGTTGACATTTCTTACATGTTCCAGACTTCTCACTCAAAATATAGTCTTTTTGTGCTGCTTCAATAGCAGTAATATGCTTTAATTTTAAATGTTTGCGCAGTTCTTTATAGTTGGCTAAATTTTTATTGCATTCTGGGCAATTATATTCAACATAACTATTTAAAAGCCAAAATTTTAAAGAGCTCGATATATTGCCTTCTGAAACTTTAACATGTTTAGTCAAATCTTTAGCGTAATTTTCTAATTGTAAATTATATTCTTTCTTCATATTACCCTCATTATCTGAACCACCATAAAATTCTTCTTTTTCTTCACCCTCGTCATCATCGTTATCATTATCATCGTCTTCATCCTCATAATCGGTATCATTTTCATCTTCTTCACTTGGTTCATACAAATCATCCTTATCATTCTCACTCTGTTCATCCATATCCTCCTCTTCCTCTTTATCTTCTTCATCTTTATCATCATTTTCATCTAAATATTCAATTTTATAATATTCATGAGAAAACACATTTTTAATTGAATCCGGTAAATAGATATCTTCCCTAAATTCCTGACCATACTCTTGATAATAATCATTTTGTTCATCTTCAAATTTGATTGGCAACCATTGATGTTGTTCACCTTCAATTATTAGCTCTTCTTCTGCTTTTATTTTGTTTAACATCTTATTTGTCTCACCATCTTCATTTTTAATCTTATTTGCTTCCATCTTTATATCTAAATCCATTGTTGCTGGAAACAGCTTCAGTCCTCTAGAGTTCTTTGCTAAAAAATATTAAGAAAATTTTATTTTTTAAACGAAAGAAGTCTATGAGGATCAAATGACCTACTGGGACAATTGCGCCCAAAACAGCTGACGATAGTATAAAGTGGCCAATTACTCTCAATGCCTCAACTAACTACTCTTGGTTCAAGCCTCAAAAGTATACTTTGTCAACAGACTCGTCACGCCTGACTGCCCTTCCATAATAAAATGGTACATATGTATATATGTGAAATCCATCAAAATCTGCAGATTTTCCAATTGCCTTTTTTGGTAGATTGTGTGTAAGGAAAAATTTCGGAAACTGTAGACACAACTAAAAATTAATACTACAAATTTTGCAAATTATCTGTCAAACAATAAAACAAAATATGCAGTTTATTAGTGATGGTATTTATGTGTATTCGATAAAATTATTTATCGATATTAGCGATACAACAGTGTAGTCAATAGAATATGGCTATTGGTACAGTAACACTTTTTGGAAAACATTTTCAACGATTTATGAATTGTTATATATTATATAGAAACTGCGAAGACTGGAACGACGTTCTTTAAGAAAGATTTGGGTCGATATAATTCAAAAATTTTGTTCCAATATCGTTATCCGTTCAAGTTTTACATTAATTCAAAATTTATATTTGTAATTTCCAAATATCTCTATTTTATGATTTTTAAAAAATTTGTCGTAAATCTTTTTGTAACAATAGATCTATATATTAAATATATATATTTTCGAAATTCAGCTTCGTGAGAAGGGTATATGTGTAAATATGTATAAGTTTGCCATTTCGTTTGTAACTTTTATAATATTGACTTTTTTAATATTTTGTTGTATTTAAAAATTTCAATATTTAAATATTTGCTTTAAAAATCCCACTTTTTAATCACTCAGATTCCGTTTCTATTTAATGTTGAAAAATTTTAAAACACAAAAGAAAATTTAGTCGGCTTTTTGTCGATATTAAGCCGCCGTCGAAATTTGTATCGTATACCGTTGATGTTTGTCGACACAGGACTCTGAATCCGCCATTTGTATTTTCATGCCGCATTTGTAGTGAGTTTTTTGGAAAGTGCTGTGAAAAATTTTAATTTTTATACAAAATACGGAAAATAATTAAATAAATTGTTAAAATATATAAAAGTTATTTAATATATTATAAAATAATATAGAAATTCTATGAAATTTCTAAAATTTTAAAGCAGAAAATAGTATATAAATTTAGTGCAAAAAAGCTTCCGCCCTTGTAGAAAGGAACGAGAAAAAAATCGTGAAAAAATTTGCACTGACTGATATAATAGATACGCGTGGTAGTAGAGTTGTGCATATAAAAAATAATTAATTAATAAAAAGTATGGGTGATTTTGGTGGTTCTACAGCAGCACAAAGTAATATAAATCAATCGCAAGCATTTGCAGCGGCTTTACAACGAGCTAAACAGGTAATTTGTTTCTATGAATTTTTTCAGGGTAAAAAATATTTTTTTCTTTTGCTAGAATGGAGGAAAAAATCGATAATTTTTTTGTTATAAGAGAATTGAGTGGAAAGAGTAAGAGAGTGTTAGTAAAAGTAGGAAAATAATTATTACTCTTTATTGAGACTTGTGGTTAAAATGATGATGTTTACAAGTGACACTAAGATCTAATCTAGTTTTGTTTAGTTCTAATTCGGTTCTAGTTCACTTTTAGTTCAGCTTAAGTTTTGGTTCAGTTCTACAGTTGTTCATTTTAAGTTATATTTCAGTTCTAGTTTATTACTAGTTTAGTTCTACTTGGCTCTAGTTCAGTTGTGGTCCAGTTTTAGTTCAGTTCTAGTTCAGTTCTAATTCAGTTCTAATTCAGTTCTAGTTCAGTTCTAATTCAGTTCTAGTTCAGTTCTAGTTCAGATCTAGTTCAGTTCTAGTTCAATTCTAGTTCAGTTCTAGTTAAGTTCTAGTTCTGTTCTATATTTGTCCAGTTCTAGTACAATTCAATTTCAGTTTAGAAAGATTTTCTTTAACTGACTAGTGGCGGCGACTAGTTCAGTTCTACATGGTTCTAGTTCAGATCTAGTTCAGTTTTAGTTCTGTTCTATATCTGCTCTAGTTCTGTTCTAATTCTATTTCAGTTCTAGTACAATTCTATGTACCTATTTCAGTTTAGTACGATTTTCTTAAACTGAAATGTTGATGTCTTTATTAAACATTGTATATTATCTATTACATTGATAGATTGCCGCTAAAATCCAACCAAATCCACAGCAAGGTGGTAATAATAGTGGCGGTGCTGGTGGCGGCGGCGGTGGCGCAGGTTTTAAACGTTCCCTAGACGATTCTGATTCAGGACCAGAAAATAAACGTTTCACTAGTCCGGATGCTAATGACTACGGTCATAATAGCAATTCTAATATGAGTGGTGGTGGTGGTTCATCTTCTGGCGGTGGTGGTCCAGCTAATATGACTCAGGCTATTGCCCAAGCAGCAGCTGTTGCAGCTCGTTTAGCTGCTACTGCTGGCAATACCTGTGAAGAACAAGTACGCATTCCCGATTGTCTTATGAGCGCCTTTTACGGTCGCGGCAACAATGAAACTATTTCTCATATACAAGGTGATTCTGGCTGTAAGGTTCAAATGAGCCAAACCGAAGGTGAACGTATTCTTACCTTAAGAGGTTCACGCGAATCGGTGACAAAAGGTCGTGAAGTTATGCAGCAGCTGGCAAATCGTAATGGTGGTGGTAATGTTGAAGTAGTTTTAACCATAAATATGCCACCTCCGGGACCCACGGGTTATCCTCCTTATCAAGAAATCATGATTCCTGGTACCAAAGTTGGTTTAGTCATAGGCAAGGGAGGTGACACAATTAAACAATTGCAGGAAAAGACCGGAGCCAAAATGGTCATTATACAAGATGGTCCCAATCAAGAAGTTATTGTAAGTTTATATTTTAAAAAGGTTAAAATCTTAATGATTAAATTTTTGATTTAATTTAGAAACCTCTACGCATTTCGGGCGATCCTCATAAAATTGAGAATGCCAAACAATTGGTTTTGGAATTAATAGCACAAAAAGATGCTCAACAACAACAACAACAGCAGCAACAAAATAACAATCGTCCCAATATGGGCGGTAATGGTGGCGGTATGGGTTCCAACAATAGCCCTAACAATGGCGGAGGAAATTATAATAATTTCGGAGGCGGTAACAATGGAGGAGAACAATGTGAAGTATTTGTACCCAAACTAGCTGTTGGTGTAGTAATTGGCAAAGGTGGAGATATGATACGTAAAATCCAACAGGAATGTGGTTGTAAACTACAATTTATACAGGGCAAAAATGATGAGCCCGGTGATCGCAGATGTTTAATACAAGGTTCACGGCAGCAAGTGGATGATGCCAAGCGTATGATTGATGGTTTAATTGATAATGTGATGGTTAGTGAGAAAAAGAGTTGAATTTTTTAAAGATTTCGTTTAACTTTATATAACTTTTAACTTTAGCAAAGAAATCGTAATGGTAATGGCGGAGGCGGCGGTAATGGTGGTGACAATGGCAATTCTAATTATGGTTACGGCTATGGTGTTAATCATGCCCAACAACCTGCACGTGAAGAAATTACCTTCATGGTACCCGCTTCAAAATGTGGTGTAAGTAGTAAATGTTTTTAAAACAGGAAATATAAAATAAACTCAACTATAATTACATTTATTTGATTTTTGCAACTACTAGATTGTTATTGGTCGTGGTGGTGAAACTATTAAATTAATTAATCAACAATCTGGTGCCTACTGTGAAATGGATCGTAATGCTGTCAATCCTCCTTCAGAAAAACTCTTCAAATGTAAAGGCACCTCCGAACAAGTAGAAGCTGCTCGTCAAATGATTGCTGAAAAGATAAATATGGAACTGCCGATTATTAATCGTAAATCTATCAATGGTGGTCCACCAAATCAACAAGGTGGTGGTGGAGGAGGCGGTGGTGGCGCTGGTGGTTATAATCCCAATGATCCAAATGCTGCCGCAGCCGCTTATCAACAACAATGGGCTGCTGGTTATGGTCAGGCCGGAGGATGGGGTGATCAAGCTCAACAACAACAAGCTGCTGGTATGGGTCAAGCAGCTCAAGCAGCGGCAAGTCAATCAGCAGATTATTCTACACAATGGATTGAGTATTACAAGTAAGTCGAAGAATATGAAAGAAAATATAATTCTGAAAATGCTCTTAATCTTCTATGTCAAAAAAACAAAAAAGGACTTTGTATAAGTTCCACAACCTATATCTTCAAACTTTCAGTTCTAGTTCTTGTTCAGCTCTAGTTCAGTTCTAGTTCTGATCTAGTTCAGTACTAGTTCAGTTCTATTTGATTTCTAGTTCAGTTCTTGCTCAATTCTAGTTCAATGTAGTATAATTCTAGTTCAGTTCTATTTCTGTTATATTCCAATGAAATAAAATACTTTTATTAATATTAAAAAAATAACTTTTCTTATAGATCAATGGGCATGCATCGAGAAGCTGAAATGATTGAACAACAATTAAAAGCTAAACAAGCAAGTGCTGCTCCCCAACCTCAGACACAAGCTCAACCCGCTGCACAACAAGCTCAATCTGCCGGTCAGCAGTCGCAAGACTATAGTGCCCAATGGGCAGAGTATTATCGTAGTATAGGAAAAATTGAAGAAGCTGAAGCTATTGAAAAACAAATGAAGGTAAGCTAAACTTAACTAAACACTTTCTGTTTATAACACCCACCCAATTTGCAAAATCAAATATAGTTAAAAGTACTTCCAAAACTATGTACTTATATATAGAGTATTTTCAAAAAAATTTAGTTAAAAACCGCTTCAACAAAGTTTTAGTTTAGGCATTAAAATAATACCGATAATAATATATATATTACGTTTTTTCAAGTAGTTTGTTTATTACATTTTTCTTTAAATGTTTTTTGTATGTTTAGATGTTTTATATAAAAGCCACATTATAAAACTGCAATTAACTTTGGAAAACACACACAAACTCAATTACTTTTCAAAACGTTTTTATTATTTATTATAAATCAAAATAGGCTTCACAATCATCGGCCTCAACAGCAGCATCGTCATCATCATCATCTGCCTCTGCTGCTGGTGCTTCTGCTGGTGGTGGCGGTGGTGGTAGTGCTGGTAGTGGTAGTCATAATACACCATCTGGTGGTATTAGTAGTGGTGGTACTTCGTCGTCTGTTGCTGTTGCTGGTCAACAAACTAAAGACTATAGTGCTCAATGGGCTGAATATTATCGTAGTATAGGTAAAATTGAAGAAGCCGAAGCTCTTGAAAAACAATTGAAGGTACGTTGTGTATTTTTTTAAATAAATAAAAAAATAGGCAACATTTTAGAAAATAAAAAGAAAACTAAAATTTTTTTGTTTGTGTTTAGGTGTTATAAAAACAAATAATATTTTTTGCACTATTTAGTTAAGCCAGAGGAAGAAGCTTTAATATTTTAATATTTAAGTTGATTTTTAAGTTTAAGTTCAATTTAATAACAATTAGTTTTAAGTAAAAACGTAAGTGTTATTATGGTTGTGGAGTCTATTTGTATTTATCAGATAGATTCAATTAAAAGTAAAACTTTCATAATTTTTTCTTACGAAATGTAAAGTATTATTTTACATTTATTATGAAATTTCCGGCTGTTACATATCATAACTGATCCTTCAATCATCTCATGTATAATCCGTGAACATTTATTGTTTCGAGCAAAATTATTTGTACCATGAATATTCCGTGAACTATTTATTGTCTTTAGTTTTGTCATCGTTTCACGTCAGGAAGAACATTGCTAAATTAATGACCAGACGATAGTCTCGACTATAGACTACTCTATAGTCCCGATTATTGACTAAACTATAGTCTAGTATAGTCTAGTTCAACGGTTCCCAAATGGGGGTCCGCGGACCCCTAGTGGTCCGTAGTAAAATCCTAGGGGGTCCGCGAAGACGAACGAAAAAAACATGAATAGACAATAGCAGCATTTTTTAAACAATTGGATTTATTAAATCTAAATTTTAGTTCTGGTACTGTACGCCAGGTGGATAAGGCAAAAGGTTTAAATCGAGACTAAACAAATTTCAAATCATAATGTCAGCAGCGACCAACAGATGGAGTTATTTCAAAACTTAATATTAAAATCATAAATTTTCCATAAAATTTGTAACAATTTTTTGCAAAAATTGGTATTTGCACTAAAATATCATGTGTGCAATATTTTAGTTACAGGAATTTTGTTTATTTTCCTATTTTTACACATTTTAAAAAATATTTGCCATCTATTGGTGAATAGCAAAATAAAACAAATTAGTTTATTTTAAAATTATTTTGGTTTTATTCTATGAATACAAAGCATTGCCATATTGAAATTAGCTAAATCTAACTATTTTTTTGGATTTAAGAAATCCAAATTAGATTTACTTTTTTTAGCTGCAGAACCGCCATGTTTGCACTAAAATTAATTTTTCTTTGACCTTATATTAGCTTACAGAGTGTATTTTCAGATAATGATGTCCGAAACTAAATTCCAGCTTCCAAAGATAGTTTTTTTCTTGAAATAAAATAAATCCAAAATAAATCCAGTGTTTAAAAAAAGCCCCTAATATTCTTTTATATGTATGTACAAATATCTCCAATTTTTGTGCAATAATCCCAAATTTTTTGGTGACTTTTTGAATTTTATTTTTTCGGTTGTTTATCAGGAAGAAGCTAGGCCCTACAAATTTATTGTATAACTTTTATAAAGTAAAGTATTGAGTGATTTGTAATTTTTATTTCCTGTATATGTACTGAAATAATGGTTTTTATTTCAGACAAATAATACTCTGCCTTACAATTAAATTAGGGATACTGGTATTCCGGAGTATGAAGTTCAATTCAAAGACAAGCTTATTACAGATTTAAGTTTATCAAATTGTAAGCAAAAGTGTTCTTGTTTGAAAGGACTAAAATTATATATTTTCAGAGGTGACTCTTTATGCATCTCTTTATAAATATTCCAATCCGACGTGATACACAGATTTTAACTTGATTTTGTCGACCAATACATATTATTAAATTAACATCAGAAAATCCATAGCGTTTCGCGTAAATATGTAGCCAAAAACCATGAAGTAAAATAATTTTGGTATTTTAAAATTCAAATTTAAGTTCCAAATTCACAGTACTTTAACAAAGAGTTCAAATCATATATTATGCGGATAACGCATTCCGCAACAACATAGAAGAAGTCCAACTTTCTTATATTATTTTCCCGAAAAACTTAGCTCACTTACTCAGTTCACCCTTTGCAATCGCAACAAATTTTTGAAGCGTGACTCCTTAAGCACATGTGACAATATTTGATAAAGAAACCTACCTTGAAGAAAAATGAACATGAAAGATCTCACGATCATAAAATGAAACATCATGAAACATATCAACAAAGAAGTCATTCTATCTTCAAAACATGCAATTGAAAACCTATCTGAAATATTATATATTCTCAATGTACGGAAATATTTTATAGATATGACATCTCTACATTTATTAGACCTAGGGATTAATGGACTAGGTCAATTTTCGGATGGACAATTATTTAGAACAATAGAATATCAAAATATGTATGGGGGTCCGCGAAATTAAATAAGTTCTTCAAGGGGTCCGCGAAGTAAAAATCGGTGGGAACCGCTGGTCTAGTTTATAGTGCAGACCAGATAAAAGGCTAGAGACTAGATTCTAGAGAAAACTATAGAATGTAGATTAGAATAGTGAATAAACTATAGTCCAGACGATAAACTAGACTGTAGATTGGACTATTTTCCAGACAATAGACTTGACTATAGTCCAGACTACAGACCTGATCATATCTGGTCTTATACGCCAGACTGCAGACTAGACTATCAGGCCTATTCTGAACAATAAACTACCGGGAAGTTTGTTCCGTCTCTTATACATATCCCAGCAAAAAAAATTTGAAGTTGTTAAAGAAGAAGGGATATTTTCATGATTTCTTTTGTACGTATTCTATTTAATGCGTTTTAAATACATGCCTAAATTCTAATAAATTTGTCATCAGTGAAGGCATGAAAAATGCACCCAAATTCAGTCATGTAACTCCACTATAGGAATTGTAATATTTTACTATAATTTGGTATTCTCTTAGGAGATTTAACGAAAACGTGCATTTCATACAATAAATATTAAAAATGACATTAATTTTTTTATTAGATTTTTGTTTTTGTAGGTACCTACCTACCTAGTAATATTAAGTCCATTTTAACATTAATAAGAGAAGGAAAAAAACAAGACTGCTTAACGGATTTTAAAACACAATGGGTATTTTTCCTCTGCATGAATTTAAATCCAATAAAAATCAGTTAGTTATGTTTTATCTTATTTTATTTTTATCAATATCACGCAAAAAAATATTTAAATATTGATAACTAAATCGAAATACCATTATTAATGCATTTTTAAATAAATATAGTGCACCAATGAAAATTCGCTTGAGAATCATCGAATATTCATTGGTTATAAGAACTCATTTAAATGACGAACTATTTTTCCAAATACGAACACATGCATGCCAATGACACGCTAATGTTAAAATCATGCATGTTTCCCCTAAATATGAACCAGTTCATTATCAGTTCAACCCATGCATTTACTACTTTTTTTGCACGTCTTTTTTTGCTGGGATAGCATGTAAAAGGGAATAAACTATAGACTAGACTTTACTCTAGACCATAATCTAGACTATACTATAGACTAGACTAGACAATACTATAGACTAAACTATAGACTAGACTATAGACTAGACTATAGACTAGACTATAGACTAGACTATAGACTAGGCTATAGACTAGACTATAGACTAGACTATAGACTACACTATAGACTAGACTATAGACTAAACTATAGACTAGACTATAGACTAGACTATAGACTAGACTATAGACTAGACTATAGACTAGACTATAGACTAGACTATAGACTAGACTATAGACTAGACTATAGACTAGACTATAGACTAGACTATAGACTAGACTATAGACTAGACTATAGACTAGACTATAGACTAGACTATAGACTAGACTATAGACTAGACTATAGACTAGACTATAGACTAGACTATAGACTAGACTATAGACTAGACTATAGACTAGACTATAGACTAGACTATAGACTAGACTATAGACTAGACTATAGACTAGACTATAGACTAGACTATAGACTAGACTATAGACTAGACTATAGACTAGACTATAGACTAGGCTATAGACTAGACTATACTATAGACTAGACTATAGACTAAACTATAGACTAGACTATAGACTAAACTATAGATTAGACTGTAGACTAAACTATAGACTAGACTGTAGACTAAACTATAGACTAGACTATAGACTAGACTATAGACTAAGCTATAGACTAGACTATAGACTAGACTATAGACTAGACTATAGACTAGACTATAGACTAGACTATAGACTAGACTATAGACTAGACTATAGACTAGACTATAGACTAGACTATAGACTAGACTATAGACTAGACTAGACTAGACTATAGACTAGACTATAGACTAGACTATAGACTAGACTATAGACTAGACTATAGACTAGACTATAGACTAGACTATAGACTAGACTATAGAATAGACTATAGACTAGACTATAGACTAGACTATAGACTAGGCTATAGACTAGGCTATAGACTAGACTATAGACTAGGCTATAGACTAGGCTATAGACTAGACTATAGACTAGGCTATAGACTAGACTATAGACTAGGCTATAGACTAGACTATACTACAGACTAGACAATACTATAGACTAGACTATAGACTAAACTATAGACTAGACTATAGACTAGACTATAGACTAGACTATAGACTAGACTATAGACTAGACTATAGACTAAACTATAGATTAGACTGTAGACTAAACTATAGACTAGACTGTAGACTAAACTATAGACTAGACTATAGACTAGATTATAGACTAAGCTATAGACTAGACTATAGACTAGACTATAGACTAGACTATAGACTAGACTATAGACTAGACTATAGACTAGACTATAGACTAGACTATAGACTAGACTATAGACTAGACTATAGACTACACCATAGACTAGACTATGGATTAGAATATAGACTAGGCTATACTATGTATAATGCAGACGAGTTTATACACCGATCCTCCAGAGTATAATTCAATAAATATACAATTTTCCTTTTAAAACTTCATGACTACACACCCTTTATTATAAAATCAGCCAAATAATTTGTATAAAATCTTTCAGATATTAATGAAATTCTCATTTATTACAAAAACTCCCTCTACTTTATTTAAAATAATTAACATTTAAAAACTTGTTTATGTTAATTTTTAGGGAGGACAAAATAGCTCTGGAAATGCTGGTGCAGCTGGCAGTAGTGGTCCTGGAGGTGCACCTGGAGCCCCTGGCGCTAATGCTGGCGGACCAGCCGCCCCTGGAGGTGGTTATCCACAAGGTATGACCCCTAGCCAATATGCTCAATATTCACAATATTATGCCGCAGCTGCTGCCCAAGCGGGAGGATATCCTCAACCTGGTGGTTATGGTGGCCCCGGATCAGCTGGTGGCTATGGAGCTCCTGGAGGTTATCCTGGAGCTCCACAACCACCAGGCAGTGGTCCCAGTCAAGGTGGTGGCAACAGCCAGAAGAAAGGAGACAAACATTAAACTCTTACACTAAGACCCACACCCTTTTTAACAACCGACTTGAGGGAGAATTGACACAGAACAAGAACAAGAAGTTGAGGTGGGGAGTTAAGGATTTTTGGGTAAGTTATTGTTTTTATTTATTGGTAAACCTGTTTTATTAGATTCTTTATTTTTCTTCATTGATTGATTTGTTGTTTTTCCTCAAACATATTTATTAAAAACAAAAGAAATTTATATTTATAATTGTATAAAATTATACTCTCTGAATAATGCAAAAATGACAAATTTTTTATTATAATATAACATTTCACTTGTTGGGTGCTTTCTTCATACATATTTTACATATTTTATTTACATACATTTTTTTAAAATATTTGTTTTATATATAGAATGTAACTTTTTCAAATGCATTTATTTTTTTTTTATATAAGAAAATATATGAAACACAACTATATTTCAAATATTATTTCCTACTTTTTTTTATTGAAACAATATTGAACAATTATATAGTTGTTATATTATTATACATATATATTTTTCCTTTTTTTTTAAACTTCGTTATGTATATTTATTATATACATTTTATATATACAAATATAAATGTGTATAAATACAAGAAAACAAACATAATTGATAAACGAACTACTTTTTTGAATAACTATTTTATTTATTTAAATATAATTAATATTTACTTGTAGTGTAAACATGAGTTTTCATTTGTTTAATTTTCATTTTATTTACATTTCTTGAATTTTAATTATTATTACTATTATTTTAACCTTTCTTTTAAGTTGTTTTTAATTTTTATGATTTTAAGTTTTTTTTTATAAACTCTAACATAACAAAACCATATTTCTTTTTTTCCTTCCATAAAATTTTTTTCTTGCAGCTTTCAGTTTTCATATAAAAAAAAGACCTTCTATACAAATACAAAAAGTCTCTCTCTTATAAAACAAATTTATAAATTATAACAAAATTAAATATAAAAAATGATATTTTGTAAATCCTGCGTAAGAGTATTAAGAGTGTGTGGACACCTGTTTGGTTTGATGTAATTTAAACAACAAAATACTTACTTACATTATCAATTTACTTTGATTTTCATTCTTTAGTTTATAAGTGTAATTTTTCTCTTTAATATAATTTATATTATTAATAATTAATAATAATAATAACAACAGTAATGATAGTAATATACATAAACATTAAAAAAAAAAGAGTTTTTAAACAGCATAAGCAAAAATAAACCCATAACTAAATATAATTATAAACTTAATTATTACTATTACTTCGTATCAGGAATGTTAATTCAAAATCACCAACAAAACAAAATTTATCTAAAAACGGCCGTTTTTAAGTTAGGTTTATATTAATACAATAAAAAAACAAAACATTACACTCTTTAGCTACTCTAGTTAATAGTTAATTATGATGATGATAATGATAATAATAATGATGATTTCTTTTATTATTGCAAAGAAGTCTGTTTAAAATATCAAAAACAAAAGCTTCCTTCCTTTTTTTATTTCAATTTTTTTTTTTTTTTTTGAAAATAATAAAATTTTATAAAAAAAATATTTCTGTAGCTTTAAATTATAATTAATTATAATTTCATTTTTTATAATATAAAATTAAAAAGAAAACAAAAACATAAATATTAAAACAAAAACAAAAAAAAATCGATTGACACTCATTTTTAACCACAAACAGACAGCTCTTGAAAGGGGGAAAATGGAATTCTTTTGGAGGAAAAAGGGGAATTTTTACACTAGACTACGGTTCAATCTATGGACTACTGTTTATTCCATAGATTACACTACAATTCAGTCTACATCCTAGACTACTGTTTAGTCTATAGACTAAACTACAGTTTTGTCAATAGGCCAGACTACAGACTAGACTACGGTTAAGTCTATAGATTAGATTGCAGTTCAGACTATAGACTAGACGACAATTTAGTTTATAGACTAAAAAAAGTTCAGATTATCGACTAGACTAGAGTTTAGTATATAGACTAAACTAGTCTATAGACTAGGCTACAGTTTAGTCTGCAATTTAGTCTATAGAATAGATCATAGTTCCGACTTTAAACTAGACTATAGTTTAGTATACACACTAAACTATAGTATAGTCTACAGACTTGTCTATAGTTTAGTTCACAGACTATAATATAGTTTAGTTCACGGGCTATACTATAGTTTAGTCTACAGACTAGACTATAGTTATTCTACAGACTAGACTATAGTTTAGTCTACAGGCTAGACTATAGTCCATATAATAAACTGTAGTCTAGTCTGTAGATTAAACTATAGTCTATAGACTAGACTACAGTTTATTATATAGACTATAGTTTAGTCTACAGTCTTTAGACTAGACTATAGACTAGACTACAGTTTAGTCTATAGACTAGACTACAGTTTAGTCTATAGACTAGACTACAGTTTAGTCTATAAACTAGACTACAGTTTAGTCTATAGACTAGACTACAGTTTTGTCTATAGACTAGACTACAGTTTAGTCTATAGACTAGACTACAGTTTAGTCTACAGACTAGACTACAGTTTAGTCTACAGACAAGACTACAGTTTAGTCTAGACTACACTACAGTTTAGTCTATAGACTAGATTACAGTTTAGTCTATATTCTAGACTACAGTATAGTCTATAGACTAAACTACAGTATAGTCTATAAACTAGACTACAGTATAGTCTATAAACTAGACTACAGTATAGTCTATAAACTAGACTACAGTTTAGTCTATAGACTAGACTACAGTTTAGTCTATAGACTACACTACAATATAGTCTATAGACTAGATTACAGTTTAGTCTATAGAATAAACTACAGTTTAGTCTATAGAATAGACTACAGTTTAGTCTATAGAATAGACTACAGTTTAGTCTATAGAATAGACTACAGTTTAGTCTATAGACTAGGTGAGAGTTTAGTCTATAGACTAGCTGAGAGTTTAGTCTATAGAATAGGTGAGAGTTTAGTCTATTTACTAGACTAGACTATACTTTAGTCTACAGACTATACTATAATTTAGTCTACGGACTAGTTTATAGACTGGACCATAGTCTAGACTGTGGACAAGACTATAGTATAGTATACAGTTTAGTCTATAGACTAGGCACGTTTCTAAAGAAAACTGTCTTTCAAAAACTCTTCTCTGAAGAAAACTGTGTTTATAGCTACTTTTCTAAAGAAAACTGTCTTTAGAAAACATTCTAAAGAAAACTATCTTTAGAAGACATTCTAAAGAAAACTGCCTTTAGAAGACACTTTCTTTAAAAAACACTTTTGTTATGAAATCTGCATTTTGAACACACCTTTTTAAAGAAAACTGTCTTAAGAAAATACATTTCTCAAGATAACTGTTATTCAAAGACACTTTTCTAAAGAAAGCTGTCTTTTAAAGACAATTTTCTGATAAACATTTTCATTCAAGGGCACGTTTCTAAAGAAAACAGTCATTAGAAGACAATTTTGTAAAGAAAACTGTTTTTCAAGGACACTTTTCTAAAGAAATCTCTCTTACAAAATCATATTTCTAAAGAAAATAATAATATGAGAAACATTTTCAAAAGAAAAACTATACTTTTTCCATTCCATTTCAAAGAGCTGTGATCAACAATTAAGTATCTTTATATATTTCTTCTTCATATCATCAATTTATGTCGCCTTCATTTTTGTGTAAACAATTATAGAAAATTTATCAAGAAAACTCTAAAAAAAAACATAACCTAAAATTAATTTTTTATGTGTTTAAAATCATACCAAACCCTACTTTGTTAAGTGTTATTTCTTAAACAGAGAGTTATGAGACCAACGACGATGGGCAGTTACCAACAAGATGAAGAAGACTACGACAGTACACCTACAACAACAATTACATGAATTGCTACAGTTTCTAAACTACAAGGATTAAATGTTAAATGGTAAGAGTATAATTTGTATGTGTAAAGTAAATTTGTTTTTATAAAATCAAAAAAATTTATTAACATTTTATTAATGTAAAATTTTGTTAAGAAAAAAGCAATCTATATATATTATTATATTATTATTTACTTGTAACAATTATACGATGAAATATTTTACAGGTTTGATTTCTAAGTTTTAGTTAAGAAATTTAATAATGAAAATTATAAGAGAAACCTTTATAAGAAGTAAAACAAATATTAATATATCCCTTTAACATATACATATTACCATAATTTTATATATTATATATATAACAAAAAATATCTTAATTGATTTGAATTTTGTGTGTGCGTGTAAATTTTTTTAAGGGGTTTAACAGATTTTCAAAATTTGTTGAGTTTATTTACACAGTTTTTCCATATTTTTGAAAAAATATTATATATGTATATATATATATATATATATATATATATATATATATATATATATATTTTGAATTTTGTTTAGATGTTATAATTTTATCAATTTCAGCCTTTTAGGGAACTACATATTTGTTTTTATGGATCATATTATAAAGAAATGTAATGCTCCTAGAAACTGTTAAATCATATTAACAATTGTCTTTGTAAAATTTAAAATAATGTCAAATTGTTTAAAATATTTAAAGTTTTTTGGGTGTGTAGGTTAGGTTATAATGTAAACGAAACTGAGTCCATTAACTGGCCTCCTTGTTTTAGGAGTTTATTCAATCGATCGATATTCAATAGCTCATTCAAGACTACATAAATACAGAAAATACCCTGACAGTGATACAGAAAATACCAAAACTAAGACTAAACTATAGAATGAATTATAGACTAAACTATAGTCAAGACTATAGACTAAACTCTAGTCCAGTCTATAGACTAATCTATAGTCAATATTACAGACTAAACTATAGTCAAGAGTATAGACTAAACTCTAGTCCAGTCTATAGACTAAATTATTGTCCAGGCTATAGTCTATACTATAGTCCAGACTATAGACAAAACTGTAGTCCAAACTATAGACTAAACAATAGTGCAAACTATAGATTAAACAATAGTCCAGACTAAAGACTGAACTATAATCTAGACTATAGACTAAACTATAGTCAAGACTATAAACTATAGATTAAAATATAATCCAGACAATATACTAAAATATAGTCAAGTCTATGGACCAGACTATGAACAAGACTATAGTCCCTACACTAGACTAAAACAAGGTTTAGACTATAGACTGAAATATACACAAAACTATAGTCCAGGCTATAGACAAAACTATAGTCCAGGCTGTAGAC